AGGTGTTGCCCGCTCCATGGGGATGTCAAGCGTGCGCTTGTCTTTGCCCAGGTCGCCCACTTGGCGGACGTAAAGTTGTGGTGTGAGCATGTGGCTAGTCACCAGGAAGATATCCTTGCCTTGGCGGGCGGAAACCTCGTAGCAAGCTCGGCTTTCACTGTATGTTGCGCCACCAGCCATGAAAATGATGTTGCGCTGTCGGTTTTCTGGTGGTCGTCGGCCAGATGAGGCCCAATTCGGCCTACCAGCACGCAACGAGCCTTGTTGTGAGGCCATGAGATCCTCGTTGGGATCCGCTGGTGGCTTCACGTAAGGAAATGTTGTTTGATCGAGAGTGCCTTTACAGAGTTCCTCGAGCATTGTCTGCATGGCTGTCTCGAAACGGGACAATGAATACTCCTCGCTTATCTCTGCCCCTTTGTTGTTCTTCTGGAACAGAGGTGGTTGAGGAGGTCGCACATCTTTCAGACCACCACGAACGGGGTGTCCACCCAACATCTCGAGGTTGACTATTATTTCCCCATCCCCTTGCGGCAGGCCCGAATGCGCGAGCAACCGATTGATATCCTCCATCACAACGCCGTCTCTATATAGCACGTAGAGAATGATCAGGCGCAGTCTGTCGGATGGGGTGATGGCATCATCGTCCAAAAGCCGCACGACCTGGTCCAATATGTTTTTAGGCTTCCTGAAGTCCTCATCCAATCCTGTAGCAAGACTCTGCTCCACCGAAGCAATGTCTGGTAGTTTGTGATCTTGGAATTTGTTCATGGCTTCTTGCGCCAGGCTCAAATGAAGTGAGTACGCCTCCTTCATTTCTGTGAATTGCGGCAAACCAGCCAGCATGTCTCTGATGGCGTTCAAGCTCGTCGTCTGTTGCTCCTCGTTGGTGAAATTAGGGTTAGACTCCAAGAACTTTCGGAAGTCTCCCATGAGTTTATCGATGGTATCTTTCATGTGTCGGTGTCGGTTGTCGACCCAGACCGGATCCTTGTCAGATAGCTCCACGTCCTTCTCTTCTGCCTGTGGAGTGCCCTCGTTTGTGACCATGCGATACGTCACTTTGTCACCATCCTGTATCGGGAGAAGGTCGTGGGCCATTGCTTGGTATGTGAACTCGTGAACCAGAGGCGCCAAAATATCCATTGATCTGTCCGTGATGATGAGGGTTCCTGCAGGCCGCGACGACTGTGGTGGAAAGTTTGGGTTCCATTGCGCATATTCGTCCAACTCCTCCTGCACGAAGCGAGCTAGATGAGAGGCAAGCACGGCGGCTTCATGGAGAGGGTTCTTCGGTCTGTAATATCGAACTTTTGGATACTCGCCCAAGGTAACGCATACGCCAGTGATCTGATCTGGTCGTCAGCAAGGTAAGGTGTGTAGCCTACCAACTGTCTCCTACGTACCTTCTGTGCTAGAATCTTCATGTGCCGCGCCACTAGGCCGTTGCACGCAGGGTGGTACAGGATTGGGAAGCTCCAAGGGTCTTTGAACGTGATCAAATGCGACTCGCGAGGAAAGAAGTCGATCGACAAGGTTTCGAATCCCGCGATGCGCTGCTTGGCCGGCGGGCAGCCGTCAATCATGCGACGAATCCTCGGATCCAAGACACCGGTCCACACCAGGTATGCTTCCTTGTATCTGCGGCGCTCAAAGTCGTTGACGAGGATCTCGACAATATTCTCCTTCGGGGACAGAATGTAGACGGCGTCCATTTCAGGGTTCATGTCTCGCTTCTGCTCGATTCGCTCGATGTCTGGACTGTGGTCAGGAGTTGAATCGTTGCAAGGAGGAAACGGGTTCGCAGAACATACTGGCGATGTTATTGTTGAGAATGTCATCTTCCTTGACAACATTGTCCAAGATTTTCTGGGAGTCTTCGTCGACAACTAGGACTTTCCACTATAGGTGTTGTCATGATTAGCTTGGCTTATTCGTAGGCAACCCGTCGGGTATCGGGTAGATCTCACGTCGCCTCGTGTAATGTTCTTGATTGTGTCGATAATGACTGTCCAAACCTGTCAGTGTCGAGAGCGGATCAAGCTGGGAGAGCATCGTGGGCTCTCGGGCTGTGAGGCTGCTCACCATCATGCTGCTCCTGGAGCGTGGAGACACCCATCGTGGCAAGTTGCCGCGTGGGCAGTGAGCAACTGGCAATTCGTCGTGTGAGGAAGGCGGGGGTTGTCGCTATGAAGTACAAAGTCGTCGGACGGCAACTCTGATCGAGCGACAACGATGAGCGGGTGCGCCTGTATGGATTGAGGTGCTACAGATAGCGCGGCGGCGGGTTCAAGAGAGGAGGACAAGGCTGGAGGAATGCGCGTTGTCGAGCTCTGTGGATCGTGGGCCCAGTCTTTGTGTAGTGAGACGTCGGGTGGAATTCGAAAACCGCCTGGTATGTATGTTTAGCTGGAAGGTCGGTGGTTGTCTTGGGCTTCGTCGTTCTTTTGGTCTGGCGGGGTTTCAAGATGGAAGAAGAACCGGTCGCAGTTGTGGGACTCTCAATGCTCCAAAGACCCAAACGGGAGCTTGGGGGGAGGGGGGAGGGAGTAAGGCAAGGTCTGGCAGGGTAGATTTCTATGCGGTCAGACAGCTTTGTCGTGGTATGGTGGTGGTAATGGTGGTGGTGGTGGTAGGTGAGGTGGGTGAGGTGAGTTGGAGTTACGATCGGAAGAGGCAAGGTTGGTCGAGTTCGCGCAGCACATGTACCGGTAGCTGTATCCGCAAGGTGTCTGCAGTGGTGAACGTGAAGTCTTATCTGCAGCGCCCCGTCTAAGGTACTATCGTGGACTTGCAAGAAGGAGACAGCAATGACCTGATGCGAGCAGAAGTCAAAAGGCCGGCTGGTTTAAGGTAAGGTAAGGTAAGGTAAGGTGGGTAGGTAAGGTATGGAAGGCAGAGGTCCTGTAGAAGAACGGGAGAGGCAGGTAGTTCCACGTTCCGTTCCCAGAGTCCCAGTTCTGGTTCCCATTTCCCGTTCCACTGCGCACCGCACCGCTACTTTCCTCAGGACTCCCGCCCGCGCTTCAAGTTGAGGCCCAGGAGGGGGGGCGGGGCCCGGGCAAGCAGGCTCCTCCCCATTGGAGCTGGCCTGACCCCTCGCCCCAAAATGTCCTGGGCTTTGGGTTACCTTATGCAATGCGAATCCTGGTACGGAGGCCGTCCAGTACGGAGTACCTTGGGATAGGTACTTGAAGGTACCTTAGTGTTCGTACCCTCCTGAGTGCCTTAGTGCAGCGGCATTCCCCCACTTTCAGCCCCCAAAAGAGCGACGAATGAGGTCACCGCCTTCCAGGTTCGCACCTGCACCTCACAACGGCGGCGCTTTCTGAAGAAGCGGCGGCGGCACAGCGGGAGATATTCTCGTGGCCTCCCGGTCACAAGGATTATGGTTGTTTGCTCAAGACAATCCCTTGTGCGTTTCAAAGCCAATCTGTTACCCGTCTCTTCGTCAGCTTTATTCCAGTCGAGGGTCAAGCCATTGTTCTTTGTGATGTTCGTCTTTGGTCACAATAACTACGAACTATGGTGGTTTGGCAGTATCACTACCATCTGACGACGCTTGTATAATAGCATATTCACATGATTAACACACACACAAGACTGTGGATCTGTAAATTGTGACTGAAATCGAGTCAACCCATTGTTGTCCGTCCTTTATGGGTATCTCGTTGTTTCCCCTCTACTTATAAACCGGTCCCCAGGTATTTGTCAATATCCTCGCTGGCGTAAAACATCTCTCGCAACCTCGCTGCCTTTCTCTTATCTTCATCAGCCTTCTTCCTGCACTGCTTCGCGTCCAGCGTCTGCGGCTTCTTCTTTTCAACCTTGCCCTGGATGCCTTTTGGGATCTTTAGCCCCAAACCATACTTGTCCTCTTTTGGTCGAGTCTTCAAGGGATACTGCATGCCTTGCTCTTCGGCACCGAGTCCCTTCCGTGAATCGGGGTCCCAGCCATGGGATGAAAGATATGTCAAGCCCATGCGCGACCGATCTAGTGCTGATGGGGGATGTGAGTGTGTAAGGCAGACTTGGTGAGCAATGGAGGACTCGTGCTTTTGTCTACTTGTCGCGGGCTTATTCGCATTGTCGACCTCTCCCACGGCATCGTCTTTATCCACGAGCAACTCGCATACGGCGCATACTTGCCCTGTTGGCGGCTTTTCGGCTTCCGCTTGCTTCTTGTCGCCGAGCACGAGGCTGAGGTAGAAGTCGCCTACGGACGTGCCGGTCTTGGTCTTCTTGACTGCTTGTGTCGTGCTAAGGCTTGGGTCTGATGCCTTGACGAACTGGATGGGTTTGCGTTGAATTCCCGCGCCAAAGGGTCGTTGATGATGAAGCGGCACATCCTCTTCTGGTTCATATCCTTCGTCCTCTTCCACCTGTCGCTGCATTTCCGCAGCCCTTGTACAGTCACACTTGCCGACACCTGTTACTCAGCAAATCCAATAGTGAAGGGAGATTCCCCAGCCGTGTCCACGTCTGCTGGTTGTATGATGTGGTGAGATGAAGGGGTAAAGTAATGGAGAAACGGTTGATGAAGAAGTTCCACTTCCTTGACAGGGGGTAGAGGGCAATCCCATTATGTCAGCGACGGTCGAGGCGACCACCCACGACCACCGTGGCACCGGCGGCCTCAGTCCCCTGCAAAATCTGCGATTAGTGCCCCTGAAAGCCAACGCCGCTGGGCTGCCGGCAGAGTAGGACTGCCCCTGTCATCGCAAATTCGGAAATCCCCTGGCGGCACATCACCTTTCCACTCTGTTCTAGAAGGCAAGCTGGCGGCTTCGTCACACCCAGACTACCTACGCATATTTCGTACGCAATCGCAAACGCCAACGCCCACACTGGCCGGCCTGCTTCATCATCGATATTTCCCACAACATTGTGACGAGTCCGAGTCGTCCGCCCATACACCTTTTAAGCATTGCTGCCCCAGCATGCACGACAGTCGCCGATAGACACGCCCCCTGCCACTTCACTCCAGTCCCTCGTTCACAATGCCTCTCGACTACTTTGGCTACATTGCCGAAGCCGGCCTCCCGACATACGTGACGGAGAACTGGTGGTTCATAATCAAGACCGTCACGGCGGTAGCAGTCCTCGTCTTCGTCAAGCTCTGGAGCTCCGGTGCCTCCAACACGGCCGAGCGGGACATGCACGGGAGGATAGTCATGATAACGGGCGGGACGTCGGGCATAGGAGCGGCGACGGTTCTGCAACTCGGCAGCCGCGGCGCGCAAATCATTCTACTCACGCACACGCCCGTGTCGGACCCCTTCCTGGTCGAGTACATTGGCGACGTGCGCGCCCGGACCGGCAACGAGCTCATCTACGCCGAGCACGTCGACCTCTCGTCCCTGCACAGCATCCGAAAGTTTGCGACCAAATGGATCGACAACTCCCCGCCGCGCCGGCTCGATATGATTATCCTCGCCGCCGCCACAATCACCCCGGCGTCGGCGAAGCGCAAGGAGACAGCCGAGGGCATCGAGGAGACGTGGATGGTCAACTACCTCGCCAACTTCCACCTTCTCTCCATCCTCAGCCCCGCCATCAAGGCCCAACCCTGGGACCGCGACGTGCGCATCATCTTCGCTTCGTGTTCCTCCTACATCGGCTCCCCGTCGCTCAAGCTGCCCCTCGACAAGAAGACGTGGTCGCCCGGCACGGCCTACAAGCGAAGCAAGCTGGCGCTCATGGTCTTTGGCCAGGCCTTCCAGAAGCACCTCGACAACTACAAGCGGCCCGACCAGCTGCCCATGAACGCGCGTACCTTCTTCGTCGACCCGGGCTTCAGCCGCACGCCAGGCATGCGGCGCTGGCTCTCGCGAGGTTCGCTTGTCGGCCTGTTTGCCTATATCACCGCCTATCCGCTACCGTGGCTCTTCCTCAAGAGCCCCGAGCAGGGCGCGCAGGCGATCCTTTTTGCGGCCATGGAACCCAGTCTTGTGCGCGCTGGCGCCGGCAAGTTGATCAAAGAGTGCCGGATCGTGGACTTTGCGCGGACGGAGATTGAGGACGACGAGGTGGCCAAGAAGCTGTGGGAGGACAGCGACAAGCTCATTGAGACGACGGAGAAGGATTCAGCTGCTCTCAGGGCGCTGGAGAAGAAGATGCAAGAAGAAAAGGCCAAGGAGGCCAAGGAGGCGGAGAAGGTGAAGGAGGTGGAGTCTCTGGTCGAGGCTATCAAGAAGGGCAAGGAGTCGCAAAAGGCAAAGGGGAAGAAGAAGTCCAAGAAGGAGACATCATAAAAGCTTCGGAGGCGTTTGACTGCTATCTACCTTGCATATAGACTACCTACTTAATGAGAAAGTAAGTGACTGATCCAGTCACTTATACGAATGCTACATGTATATTTCCCAGGAAAGCCAACATGCCTCGGCTGCATCACTGCCAACGAGTTTGAAAACACACCACAAAGAAAGAAAAGTAAAAAAGAAAAAAGAAAAAAATCAGTAGGAAAGGAAAGAAGGGGAACACTAACCGTATAGTTCACGTCCCTGCCGGGATTCGAACAGCGCGCCCCTCAGTCACCCCGGAATATCTGACTTTATTGGAGTATTTGTTTATTTTAACCACTACACCACGCACACAGCTTGACCTGACCTCGCCGACCTAGACGGGCGCTGCTGTGCTGGCGACAAGAAATAGGGTTGAGAGGGTATATATACCCTCGGTTGCCTAGGTAGGTGAAGGAAGGTGGCGAATTCGGATGAAAGTTGTAAGAGCTTCAGCATCCGAGGGAAGGAATGAACTTCATGAGAGAAGGAAGGGCCTCGGACTCTTTCCGCCGTAGCTCCAACAGTCCGGGGGGCCCGCCCCCACCTTTCACCGTCCAAGTGCCGTCGCTCGGGTGCCATTAATTACCCCAAGGCTTAGAGCTCGGCGAGCCGGGGGTGTGGGTGTGTGTGTGTGTGTACTGTAATCTTTCCCCGCAAGGAACCCAGACATGACGACAGAAATCTCACAAACAACATGCTTAAGCAAGCTACATATCAACTTTCGCATCTGAAGCATCTAGCGGTTCCTCGAAATTAATCTGTAAATCCATCAAATATTCCGCGCACCATGTCCAGTAGCACGGCGGCACCAGGCATGGCGCACCACACCGCAACAACCGCATCATCACAACCTCGGCATCCCCTACCGCTCCAGAGCGCGTGGGAACGGCACCACATCGCCACCGCCGAGACAGTAATGGCGCAGCAGCAGCAACAGCAGCAGCACAACTCATCGATCCGGCATCCCGTCTTCTTCACGGAAAAACTGCGGCGGCCACCGGTGACTCTGGCGCCTGGCATGGGCTTCAGTCCCGTGGCGCACGGCTACGTCTATCAGGATGGGCGGAGAAGGTTGGCCGAGAGGAACTCTGCGCCGAAGCTGTGAAGAGGAAGGCTGAAGTTGTGAATAACTTTTGGTTCGTCTTTCTAGCTTCTGATTGATGAGCAATGTTATCGGAAGCTCGTGAGGAAGGGCAATGACGTCGGTTTTGGAGATTGGCGCGATTTATACGACCTTTGCCGAGGCTGATGGCGTTGTTATTTGTTATGAGGAAGAGGCTACTACCCGGAAATCTGGAGATGGCCTGCGCTTGACTCGATGATGGCAAATACCCTCACGCCACTTCGGACATTTCTTCTCTTTATCCGGTTTCTTTTGCCATGGCTTCTGCTGTAATTCTCAGCAGTCCGTGGTCATTGCGTATTCAATGGTTGATTATTGAGAGGGAGGGTTACTTCATCATGGATGACCTGTCTAAAATGGCTAGGCGGGTGAGGTGAATAACAGTACGGAAAGTCCAGACGACAAAGGACACGAAGGATATGACGGGATAACAAGTAAGAGGAAAGGTGTAATGAAGCTCGAGTGATGCATTGCGTTGGGTATCATCAGGTCATTTCTGTCCACCTTGGGACGAAAATGCATGTTAGAGAGCATCCAGATAAGGTATGACCTTAGTTAGATTATGAACATCTAGTCATGAAGTATATGGAATCATTCAACTCTTACACCGTCTCTTTATGCAATGCGGATGTAAATATTTTTTTATTCTATGTTGCTTAGTTCATATTTGGCTTCAGATGGGTGATGAGGCGAGCGTTGCTGTCATTCAGTCGATGTGGTAGAAGCTCAACGGCATGGCTTAGGCCCCCAATATCGTCGCTATTGTCATTTGGTCAAGGCATACCGGGTCATTGTCGAGCAAGACCACTGTCTTGATTTAAAATCACTCATATGTATGAGCGACACGCGGAAGTGATTTAATCGATTTACTTGTATTTCGATGTGGTTCCTGAACCCACAAGTGACAGTTTAGGAGATGTGTGGTTGAGTGTGACCCCATCGAGGGTTGTGTTCATAACGAAAATTAAAAGCCTCCGTCGTTTTGTTTCCCAAAAAAAAGTTGCGTTTCCCGTTTCGCCATTCAAGCCAAACCACCATTGCCCAATTTGACTAGCAGCACTCTACACCATCGAAACACGCGACCTTCATGTGTACACACTCCGTGCCCGCTACACGAAGCCAATTCGAAACCAGACTCTCGAGCCCACCAATAGGTGAAGAGTTGACCTGCTCTCAGTTCTTCACCGCAATCACAATCGCGAGTACGATGAGCACCACGACCAGCGTGAGAAGCGCCATCAGCTTGACGTTCTTCCACCACATCTTCCTCTTCAGACCGCGACTGCGGACGCGAAACTCACGCGCGCTGCCGCCGAGACGGTCCGTCTTGTCGACGAGCAAATCGATGCGCTCGCCCCTCTCGAGTAAGCCCTCGATATTGCGCGTCATGATGCCCCGGACATCGTCAATCTCGCGCTGGACGTTGGAGATGGCGTCATCCTTGCCGCCGCTCGTGGTGCCGTAGTCGACCATGAACTTCTTGAGCTGGCCATTGTAGCTGGCGGCGCCGTAGTTGGGCAGCTCGGCGTAGTCGGTCGTCTCGGCGGGGAACTGCTCGAGGAAGCGGCGTCGGATCTCGAAGAGGAAGCCAAAGGGGATGCGGCGGCCCAGCGAGGCGTCGGCAATGACGAGGAAGGTGAGGCCGCCGGCGGAAGGGTGATCTGGGTGGTCGGAGGGCGCTTCGGCGATGTAGTGGATGTGGTGCGAGCCGTGGGTGTAGGTCAACTTCTGGGGGGTGGTGTGCTCGATCTTGGGGAGGATGACGGAGGCGAGGGAGGAGGTTTGCGATACGGCTGATGTTGTGCATTCGCTGAGGATGGTGTTATTGTGCGCTATGCACGAGCTGTAGGACGGCAGTATGTCAGTTGTGTCTCCAGTAGAGGGGGGCATTCGAGACGGGAATGTCGTGGTAGTCTTCTTACTAGAGCAATGGAGTGATGGGCGTCGAAGAAGAAGCCATGATGATAGGTATTGGAGTGTTTGAAGAATCTGAGGAGCCTATCTTGAGATGCCTTTGATTCCTTTTGAATGCGCCGAAGGGGTATAGGCAGCGATATTCGAGATGCGACGGCGGGTTGCGTATGTAGGTAGACAGTTCGGATATCGGCGTGGTGGGCGCTGTCGCGGATTGCAGTGTGGAAACCTGGGGACCTGGGGACCTGGGGACCTGGGGACCTGAATGCGTGATGACGACGAGGACGGTGCAATCGGAGGCGGAGGCGCTAAGCCGGAGTGGGGCGACCCAGTTCCGTCCCTCAAGGGCGAATCAGGGGTGATGGCGATAAGCGTCGAGACCTCTTATCGGCTCCCAAAATTTCCCAGTCCTTTAATGTCAGTGACCTCCATGCTCTCCCGCCGACCAGATGCATGACTGCGAAAGGTGGATAGCGCATGCCATCTTGCCATTGACATACCCAAACGGACATGCTTCTTGCATGTTGTTAGCCATGGTGTGTTGCACAGAAAGTCACCCACCATGAGATCAATTTTGCGAGCCACGAAGCTATGCGCGGCGGCGATACGCCCTGCGCCGGGCCATGGCTTTGCAACATCCTCCCCGTTCGCCTACCAGGTACGCGATAGCTTCCCCCTTCGTCTCCGATCTTACGGATATATACTAACTATTGTACTTGATAGGCGACACATGCGAGGTATTCTACAAAGAAGTATGCACCTCCCGACCGCAAATCAACCAAATACGATGTCTTCAGGACCATGATCCTCACTCAGTTCAACGTTGTCATTGAGAACATGGGACGTTGGTCAGAGGACAACACTGAGTACCGAAACTTTGGCATTCGAAGCGAATATGGCCTCAATAACGAGATTACCCTCTTCCGCGATACCATACAAAAGGCGATAGGCCTGGCCAACAAGGGTGCAACACTGCGCAAGGAGAACCCATTGTTCTGGTCCTTACGAAATGCCTTTATCCGTGGCGACGTCAAGGGCCTAACAGCGGAGCTGCGATATTCATTCCAGAGCTTCATGCTGCGATCGAAACTGACACACTCGACGACGCGGCAGAGGAAGTTGGCCGATTTGCGGTTTCCAATGGAGTGGTTCCCCGCCACACGAGCCATGCAGCGCACTATTCACCTGCACGTCGGACCGACGAACTCTGGAAAGACGTATCGGGCGTTGCAGGCCCTGATGAACTCCAAATCTGGCATCTATGGAGGGCCTCTCCGTCTCCTGGCTCATGAGATTTACTCTCGATTCCAGGCCGCGGGGAAGCCCTGCGCCATGGTCACGGGCGAGGAGCAGCGCATACCGGACGCGGATAACTACTTCATCAGCTGTACCGTCGAGATGACGCCTCTCAACCGAATGGTTGATGTGGCGGTTATAGACGAGATTCAGATGATTGGCCACGACGAGCGAGGATGGGCGTGGACGCAGGCTTTCCTTGGCGTCATGGCGAAGGAGGTCCATCTCTGTGGCGAAGAACGAGTTGTCGACCTTATCAAGTCCATCTGCTCAAGTATCGGTGACAAGTGCATTGTTCACCGGTATGAAAGGCTGAGTCCGTTGCAGACGATGAAGAACAGTCTGGGCAACGATCTTTCCAAGCTGGAAAAGGGCGATGCCGTGGTGGCTTTCACGCGCGTTAACCTCCACGGTCTCAAGAACGCGATCGAGGAGGCTACCGGCCGTCGGTGCGCCATTGTCTACGGTTCGCTGCCACCAGAGACTCGAGCGCAGCAAGCAGCTTTATTCAACGATCCCAACAACGATTACGACTTCTTGGTGGCCAGTGATGCCATCGGCATGGGTCTGAACTTGGAGATCAAGCGCGTCATCTTTGAGACGTCAATGAAGCACGATGGTACACAGTATCGTACGCTGACAACGTCCGAAATCAAGCAGATTGGTGGCAGAGCAGGAAGATACAAGACTGCTCGACAAGCAGCCACCAAGGAAGGTGACAATAGTAATCAAGTCGAAGAGAAGAAAATGGGCTACGTTACGACGCTTGCCGAGGAAGATTTGTCCGCAATTGCAAAGGGGTTTAACACTGAGACTGCGCCGCTCGAGGCCGCAGGTATCCAGCCCCCGTCACATATAATCGAGCAGTTCGCCGAATACTTCCCTCCTGATACGCCGCTCAGCTTCATCCTCCTACGACTGCGCGAACTCGCGCCCGTCTCGGAGCGCTTCACGGTCTACGTTCCCGAAATCAACGCCAAGATCGCAGATACCATTCAGGAGTTCCCCATGACGATTCAGGACCGCATCACTGTTCTCCACGCCCCAATTTCGCTTCGGGAGGCTGGGCAGGCGGACCTTCTCAAAGCCATTGCCAAGTGTATCTCAACGAGGAGCAACGGCGCCCTGTGCGATATTCAGTCCATCCAGTTGGAGCTACTCGACGCTACGCTCGAAGACTTTAACAACCAGGGCAGGCGGTATCTTCACGCCATCGAGTCCCTGCACGCGGCCATCACCCTGTATCTGTGGGTGAGCTACCGCTTCCCCAACGTCTTTACGAGTCAGGCGCTGGCGTTCCACGTCAAGGACGCCGTCGAGGAGAAGATTGAGTTCTACCTCGAGACCAACGCCGTCTTCGATCCCGAGGTACATACCAAGGTCCGCGAGAAGCGACGAAGGGAGGCAAAGACGAAGGAGATGCAGACGGAGCTCGAGGCGGAGCTACGCATGCTCCAGGAGGAGGCAGATGAAAGGGGCGCAGAGAGGCTCGCTGATCGTACGCATTCTGAGGATGACTCTATTGATGCCGATCAGAGCTCCGTGCCTTCTGAGGATGTTGATCAGAGCTCGGTGGGGCTTGAGGAGCCTCTAGTGGTGGATGAGAGAGACTATGAAGCCGGGCTGGAAGAGACGGAGGAGAAGTCAAAACAGGAGTCTGCCTTCTAGTACGACAATCGCGGGTTGAGGGCTGACAAGGAGCTTTGGAAGTTTTGTCGGATGTAAAACAATGTAGGGCTCTAGCTACATCTAGTTGTATAATAGTCTGTCTGGTGGCACAGGAAAAGCACATCGAAAGGCACGATGGTGTATAGGGGGGCCCAAGGGCCATGTATACTACAACACGGACATCACAAAAGGAGTAGGGACAGCGCATACTCCACATTGCAAGATATAAGATAGAGATTATATGATACAGAAGCCTCTCACACATTTCCAAGAGGACTTAAGATTTTGCATGTGGTAAGGGCTCTGGAAAGGAGACAGGACCAAGTCCTTGGCTGAGGTCCATGCTGTCGGTCTACCCCAAGTTCCCAACGAGCACCCCGCATTGTCAAGGCTCACCTTGGGCGACCCCTGCCGGTTACCTCACCGACCCCACCAAGTATCCCCGCTACCTATGGAGGGGCAAAAGTGACATGGCAGCTCTACCTTACCTGTATGTCTACGCAACTCCAACTGCGCCCTTCATCCTACATCACCTCACTCCAAACAACCACAAACCTCCTGGCAACTCCCTCCCACAGAACCTCGACTGCAAGAAACAACACACAACCAAAAGTCAGCACCAAGACATCCAAAACCACCCACAACTCCTCAAAATGACCGCCACAAACCCCGACCCCTCCGCGGCAGCCCCGGCCTTCATCCCCCTCGAAGCAAACCCAGAACTCATGACCTCCCTCCTCCACAAACTAGGCCTCTCCCCGGCCCTCCAGATCCACGACGTCTATTCCCTTACCGACCCAGACATGCTCTCCTTCGTCCCACGCCCCGCCCTCGCCGTCTTGCTCGTCTTCCCCGTCAGCGCCGCCTACGAGAGCCACCGCCTCGCAGAGGACGCCCTGCTGGATGAATACAAGGGCAAAGGACCGCAGGAGCCCGTGTTGTGGTTCCGCCAGACGATTCGAAATGCGTGTGGGCTGATGGGGCTGTTGCATGCTGTTGCTAATGGGCCCGCGAGGGAGTATATCCGTACGTCTCCACCTCTTCACTGATTCCCTATCCTTTCCCTGTCTCTCGGAGACAAGCATAGTATTTTGTGGGTGTTTACTAACCCAAAGCAATAAACAGAGAAGCCATCCGACCTCAACACCCTAATCGAAACCGCCGAGCCCCTCGAACCCGTCTCCCGCGCCCAACTTCTCGAGAAGACGCCCGCCCTCGCCACGGCGCACCGGGAAGCTGCGTCACAGGGCGCGACCGAGGCGCCCGAGGCCTCAGACGACGTGGATTTGCACTATGTCTGCTTCGTGCGCGGCGACGACGGCACGCTGTGGGAGCTCGACGGGCGTCGCAAGGGCCCGCTGAACCGGGGCCAGCTCGAGTCCGGGGAGGATGTTCTGAGCGAGAAGGCGCTGACGTGGGGCCCGCGCAAGTTCCTGGAGAGGGAGGGCGCGGATTTGCGGTTTAGTGCTGTTGCATTGGCTGGGTCTCTTGATTAGAGGGGGTAGTGTCCGATGATAAAATGGAATGCATGTTATTTGGCGTTCAGGTTATGGGGGATGAATTACTCAATTATCAATCCAGAAGACTGAGATGAAGGCCCAAGGACAAAAGGTTCAGCTGTTGCTGTGTTTAGAGAATGGCTAGGGGAATGGCTACTTGTTACATAGGTGCAATTCCGCACCCATTTCCACCATGGACTGCCTCACCAACGGCCTGTCAGAAGTCTACTGACTATTTGACTTCCAAAGTTGCGCTGAATCTTGCGACTCTGGTTTCCGCCACAACTGGCCAGTGATCCTCCTTTCTTCGTTTCTACGCCCCTCGGAGGGAGTGTTGGCTGGCTCTTGAAGATCAAAGTCGAGCGGGCCAACATGCTCTCGCATGTTTGACTGATTATCCGCGCCTAAGTGTTTGTAAGGACAGCGTTAGCCTCGGGGAAACGATCAAGCGGAAAGATTCACCTGCCTCCCGTTGCAACGACCTCCTTGAACTCGGTCGACGACTTCCTGTGAACCTGGGTTCCGGCATCAGGTCCACTGGCAGGTACCGTGTCCATATAAGCTAACTTGGGAGGGATAGAGTTGAACTCCGTCTTGGACTTTCTGTGAGAACCTGCAAGGTTGCTGTCCGTAGCGGGCGGGGCATATGTTCCTACTGCCTCTGATGTACAAGGATACTCAGCTTCAGCGGATGGGGAATCGGTCTCCGAAGCGAGATCCTGCCAGTTTCCCGGCATCGGCTCTCCGTAGTTGTGGTCATTGGGTGTCTCTGGTGCCTGTGCTTGCGAGACATGGTGATGATCATGAGTCAAGCTGAGGTACTTGGGTTGTGCATTATCTTCTCCGGGCGAGGCGAGGGGCTTATCTGAGGAAGAAGGGGAAAACTCAATGCTGAGAAGGGGGCTCTTTCTGATATCCTCGATGATGGGGGAGCCGTCGTGCTCGGTGAAGAAGGGTATCTAGCCCTGGCTGGAGTTGGCCTGCTGGGGCTGATTGGGGTGTTTGGAGTTTGACATTGTTTCTGGACGATACTTGGACGAGAGGTGGATGCTGGCATGAAGCTGCTTGGGAAGCTTCTCAAAGGTAAAATAGTGTTAGGGGATCGTAGTTGGAGCTACTAAGGGGCGACGTTCAATGATTTGGATGACGATAGTCCTAGGCTAAGCGGTTGTATGAAGATGGAGATGGTGTTTTGATGAGGTATGTTTCTTCTGGCCGCAGAGAGGTCTCTCACCGCGTGTGTGTACCTTCCCATCAAAGTCCACCTACATCGTAGAAGGCTCGGGTACAATGCTCCTTCATTAGTTAACACTCGGCGAACTACGAAGAAGGTGCCTTCTTCCCCTTGGTGGCATCAGGTACGTGGCTCACTGCAGATAATCGTGAGCTAGAAGAGCGAGGCCAAATGCCTCTTGCCTTTGTCAAGTCCGTCCAAGTATTAGCTAGTGATTCGCTGGAAGATTTCTGCCCTCTCTCATCTCGCATGGTCAGGATTATCAAGCTGACCGTCCAATCACCGCAACGGCTATGTGCTTGACTGGCTCCCAAATCTACTTAGTCTTACCTGAGATGTCAAATCTTGGAAAATCACTTAAGAAATCGACGACATGCTCTTTGAGATCGGCAGCCGGAATCTACGAGCTGTCACAAGACCCCTCGTGTTCGGGCTAGTCACGGATGGAAGGCACCTTTTGACGCTCGTGGAAGCCATCTTGATAAGACTCTGGGGAAAGCCTCGAACCAGTGACTAGTGGTGGTTGATGGTGTGTAGACCTGTACCCAATGATCTCCTCGAGATATGCTTCCCCTGATGAACTCAGAAGCAATCTTTGAAGAATTGGGTATAGTGCGTGTGATGACACCGGCAGCCAGAGATGAGGCGGCGCCATGACTTGTCTGCAGCAATTAAACCGTTCGAAGGATGTCTTGTTTACCCGGATTCACACCGTATTCGTCGTGCCATGAACAGGGGGGTTCGAGGAGTTCATCCGGGCTATTGGGCAGTAAACTCGGACTTTCGTTTCTGCAATAGCAGTGCCATCGAACAACGTCCGTTTCATCTGGAAGCTTGCTTCCTCTCTTCTTCGCGCAAGGCTTCTGCGCTGAAAATGCCCCCCAAGCCCCGAAGGGTCGGACGGTCCGGGGGAACACCACCACCATCACCTTGCAGTTTGACGTGTCCGCTCGGGCCTCGGGGGCTGCAGCGTCCAACGTTCGGACGTCGAATGGGGAGCACTGGTCACCGTCCGAGCGGCACCGGGGGCCGATGTGCTTGAATCTGGGAGAGTTGCGCCGGACTGCGGGTATCCCGCCCACAAGAGGAATGGGCACACCAGGCGGCGTGACGGCGTTCTCGTAGTGCCGCAGACCTTTCCTCTTCCTGGACCCTTCATTTGTGAACGCGAGGGGTGGTGGAAGATCCGTTCCCCCTGAACGGGTTACCCCGCCTGCTTCTGGTGCGGCCGTAAGTCTGGAAATCAGACCATGATTGAGGTTGGTATGGAAAAGCAAGCTGAGCGGGTTCCAGTATAACGCTTCTGGAACCACTTCGCTGCATGACGGCGACCTTCGGATTTTGGTTGCATCTTTGAAGTTGCGGCTCACTTGAAAGCGCAGGTCGGTGTTGAAAGGCCTTTGATCGTGTTTTTTGGAGATAATAGGGAGAATTAGGATAAAGCTATCCATAGAAACCGCTGTGGTCCACGTGGTGGCCGATCGCCGCTAGAAGGCTAGCCGGATCGTGCGGTATGAAACGCTGAAAGCCTGCCCGTGTCTAGCAAACAAACGAGTGGACTCTATGGGTACGAGCTAGACAGTTCCCCTGAGTTGAGGCGTTTGCCGTTTGCCGGCGTCGGTAAGCAATTAGGTATTAATTAAGGCCCCCAGCTCGACCTGGTGTTGCGAAAGACGCAACGCAGCCACGAGAGGGATACTCGAAGAGCCGAAGAGAGAAGATAGGAGATATGTCAAATTCCGCCCGTTTGTGCAGCCAAGCAGGAAATTGCAGCATTGCTGTCGGTAATCGCCGTTGCCCACTGCAGTATTCATCAACATGATGCAACCGGCCGCAAGATTGGCAGTGGCTGTTTTCTGTCATACTCCATGACGCAGCTGAGAAGTTGACGTGTCGATGCTGTGACTTGATGATGCTCATATAATCTCTTTTCCGGTTGATTCGTGGAAATGGTTCTTTGCAGAAGGGAGAAGCAAAGATTGGTGACGGAAAAGAAATAACGGCAGCTGCGAGGCGTCCAGAACATCTACAAAGTACCTAATCCAATATACCTGACTAAGCAGATTGTGTGGCAGGTGTGACGCGGTACCTGACTTCCCGGACTCAGAGCTACCTACTACTGTCAGGTAAAGTAGTTTGGCTCGCCAACTCTTCCTTGTACGGTGTACCGCAGCAGAGATCCCATCAACATCAATTGGTCCATCAATCATCAACATGTAAGGGCTTGTTCACAGCTGCGACAGCCGTCACACCAAGCAATGCCGCGATATTCATGGCTCAGTTCGTTCACCGCCCAGAATAGAGTCATTCCGGGCCAGCTCGTCCGCCGTCCACTCAATTGGTACCAGCAAACCTCACACCGCACACCGCACACTGCGCAGAGAGAATAGACCCTGCAATCATTGAGCACCACCGCAGCTAGCGCCGGAGAATCGATGCTTTTCTAGCAATTGTGGCGACCTGAGCAACCATTCGCATGAAATCTCGATTGACTCGGCCGTACTCCCTTGCGTTGCCTTATGCTTATTGACCTGCTGGACTTGTCAGCATGGAGCAAGTCAACACGGCACGCGCCAGCCTCCAAGATTCATAATTGACTTTCGGATGCGTAATTCCAGTCCCATCGAATTGCGGCCAACACATCCGAGGAATACCAGGGGCGAATCCTTGGGTGATCTGCTTCCGCCCACCTCCAATCAGCAGGGGGCGCAGAAAAGATGTCTTGCACACGCGCATCTAGGTATACCAGGGGCCGGGGACCCTCACAATGATCAATCCAGGGCCGGGCACAGGCACCACCATGGGAGACATGCAAGCAAGATGGACACAATGCAAGATGCAGGTGGACGACGCTTCAAACAGATGAGCGGAGAAACGTGTCGTCAACATGGTTCGATACGCGCCGTTTGGCGGCACGACGCCTTGATGCCACTGCCGGTCGACGACTAATACCTCACGAATACCAAGAACAAACACCCATCCGCCTGCGCCGTTGACCACTCGGCTCAGGACTCCAAACGTCGAGCCCACTGTGACAAAGTCCAGTTTTCCAAGACCAACGGAGCAAAGCCACACGCTACCGCCTGGCGTTGTCCAACAGGAATTCTTTGACTTTGTTCCTGGGACACACTAACACGGCTAGTCTTGAAACCAGTCAGCTGGTGCTGCCAATAAAAGCAGCTGGCAAATGGGCTTCGTTCCAACCCTCGTCGATTGCTTTTTCTCCGAAGTGGCACTAATTACGACGTCTGATCCCTGAACCCAGGGCCATGTTTTCTTCTTTCCTGGATCGGCAGAGTGACCAGCATCGTGGAGGCGCATCGTCGTCTTTCGGAACAGATCCTTGCTTGTTTGCGGCTTTGCACTTGCAAGTTGCGACAGCTATCAAGATTGGATCTGGCATCTGGTTCAGGATAGCAATCAAGTTCGAGGCCAGGCACAACCGCAACACTGGATACCTTGGCACCGACAGGCCAGCAAAGAACAGCCAATCTATGTTTACACGCTGCCTTGGGCTTTTAGTTTGGCAATGGTGGTGCCCAGCAGAAAGTCGCCCAGGAGCGTGTAAACCCGGGACTTCCATCGACTTGCACTCGAGCCAGACAATCACGACAACGGCCGGAGGTCCTGAGATGCTACCAAGAGCTAGACCATGAAACTGGCTTATAAGCTGCTTCGAGGTGTTCACACCTTTGTTGTCACTTTCGCACGGGCCACGGCCCATCCCATCCCTTCCCATCCGACCATCTATCCGTCTTCTTACCTGTTTTCGAAACCTTGATGCGCCATTTCGTCCGAGCAACGAGTCTTGTCACCACCACACCACACCGACCAGCCAATTCCAAGCTTCTTTGCCACTCCTGCGCCATTCCTGAAGGCGCTCAGAAGCCTGTTTGCATCCCAGGACAAACAGACGATTCAGGCATGTGGAAATCAGTATCTGATTGAAGCCTTCCCCGCTTTGCCGAGGAGGAACATGGAATTCATGGTTATCTTACAACGCTTTGTCGAGTTGTAGTCTCTCCACATCGTCTATCCATGAGAAACTTCGTCTCCTAAGCTGGAAAGAAAGCAGCCACCCGCTCAAGTGACGGACCATGGACGGCCAGCATTCTTGCCTGTCAACGGTCCTGCTCTACAAGAAGATACTCCAAATGTCTCGATACTAATACTTTACGTTTGACGGAAGCCATGGCTCTTCCGCGGGTGTGTGCAACATCACCCCATGCAACTCGGAGAAGCCACGCTCGGGGACATGGGTATCGCATCGTTTGACTGCACGAAGCCTTTCGACCTGGGCCCAAAACTCGGTCTAGCGTGGACTATCTTCTGCTCATTCGCTCCGCTCTGTCATGTATATGCACGCACTTCAGCCTTAGCACCCTTACACGACTCGTCGCGTCGCATTGTCCCTCCTTTCCTTTTTCTTTAGTCCACCTAGGTAGGATCTGACGCTATCCAGCCCACCCGCTCGGCTTTTAGACTCCCTTCCCCCCTTCTACTGGTGCCCTCATCCTTCTTTTCGTCGCCGTCTGTTCCATCGTCTTTTCACATCGTAATCGTCTATGCAACGAGGCCTTCGTCTCTTAGCACTCAACTGTCTTCCAGCCTCTGACTTTCGATCTCAACATAACTTTGGACTTGAAGACATCACACCTTGAACCTGTTGGCGGTTCACAGCCTACCTAGTTGTCTCTTGCCCTCGCCATATGGAGGGCGATAAGCTGCGAGAATGGGCTTCTTGAAATTCTTCTCGTCCAAAAGGTCGTCTGACAAGCCATCAAATGGAATCAAGGCGCAGGCATATGATGCTACGACTGCTTCTCTTCCCCCACTTCTAGGTAGGATTGATCCAATACTTTGGTCTAGCTTTGTACTCTAAACTTACACGATTACCTAGGAACTTACCCGGTTGCCGGCAATGGACCAACCAATGTCTTCGAGGACCTCCAACGGTCTCACCATAAGATGAGCGAAACCAACTTGTCTCTCGCAGCGGGCTCCGAGGCTTCTGCCCCAGCACCGCCCGTTTTACGATTCCGCGATTCCAGCGTCGAGCGCCCAAGTTCTGCCCCAGGTAGTGCCGTACCTCCAAGCTTTTCACCGTCTCCGTCGGGTCGTTGGGGAAGAGACTCGTCGAGGGGTCCGCCTTTGTCATTTAGGAAACCACGGATCGGGTCACTTACATCGACGACGTCAGGTCTATCGGGTCTGTCCCCCGCTCCAAAACGAAGCAGCAATTCTCCAGCAATACCGTTCGAGGGAGAGCCGTTTCGCCCACCAACTGCTCCTTTCACACATAACCGGCACCTTTCTATGCAAAGCACAAGCACGGCTGCAGTCAGAGGCTTCATCGATCTCCTCGATGCGCAATCCGAAATCAAGCCTTCTGGATTTCAGAGCCGGGTCAAGGCGTCAGGCGCACGGGATTACGGGGAAGATGTTGCAGACCGCAACATTGGCGAGAATGGAGTAGACCTCGAGTCCGACAAAGTCCAGGCATTTTACGCAACAAACGGTGGCAGTCCGCGAGATCGACACAACGGCGCGTTTGCGGCTCCAGCGAGGGCCCATTTTGGAGACAAAGAACAAACGTTTAAGCCTCCCCGACGCCACGATTCCCTGGACAACGAGGCCCGCACAAAGTCTTTGACGTCGGCGAGCCTCGGCCAGGTACCATTCCGAACTAATATGTTCAATCCCGAGAGCTCCCTTAGCCGCGAGCCAATAATGGAGTCTGTTTCAGAGACGATTCGCGGCCGTCGAAGGCAATCACTAGGTGCCTACATTCCTACGACGCCATCGGATGCGGCGACGGGTAGAGCGCTGAGTCTTCGGAAATCGACAGCCGATGCCTCTGGATCCCCAAGTACTCGACAACGCAAGCGGCGATCTACCCTCGGCGGTGAAGCGCCGCTGAACGAATTAGGCATTTTCACATCCCGAGGCGGGCCTATCGATTCGTCGTTGTCGCCAAAGACGACCCAGAAGCCAACGTTCTTGGTCAAGCACAACTACTCGTTACCGGTTCAGCAACGCCCGAAGACTTCTTCAGGTCTCGTCCATACCGAATCATACCAGGCGGTGAGGCCGCCATCCCGCGGAGGGTCAGTAGCCAATCCCACACCCTCCTCCCCAACCCAGAAGTCGCCATCCAAACGGCACACCCTTTCCGCGATAGGCGGTGCTGCATCATCTACCCGCTCTACCGAGTGGCCGCGGAATGCGAAGCCTGACGGAGCGTCCGACAGAAGAGGATGGGTCGGCCGAGTTGAGGTTGAGAGCTTTGTTGATTCTGCGGATGTGTCCTCACCGGCGCCTTCACCTCGTTAGTGTTTACCGTCGATTTTCTACCGTCTTTTGTCGTTCGCTTTGCAAAGAGTGCCTGCTAACATGCTTCGCGTGAAAGATGTGATGAGAAGTGGCCACTCGTGGCGTGAAACGCTGGATGATTCTTATCTACGGTCCAAGAGTAACGGGACACTGTTCGGCAAGGGCAAGCTGGACGAGATTCACGAACACGTGCCGATGCGGACGAGTAGTCTCCGGCACTGGTCTATTTCGTCAGCGACGCCCACCATGTCGAGTACCAGCTCCTTTCAACGACCTCATTCTCGACAAACGACGACGACAACCGTCGATCTAGCTACCCTGTCGTCCTTTATCAACGACAGTCGCAGCTCCTTGCACAGTGGCACGGGCGACCACGCGTCATTCTGCACGGCGCTGGAGAGTGCGCTGCCTTCGCCGACTACTCTTGCAAAGCCTGGAGACGGATTCAACATTGACGATTACTTGTCGTCAGACGATGATATCGATGCCGACTCGTTCATCACCACGCGCAAACGTGATTCAGCACACAGCGGCGGTCACGAGGAAGGCCTCCTCTTTTGTGATGAAGGGTACGGCGAAGGCGGCCTGCAGTTGCCGGGCCTCTTTGACAGCCTGTCCAACATTCCGGACCCCGATACCACGTCGCCAGAGCGGTATGGTCACAAGTACTCGCTCAGTAATCCCGGAGGCCGTCTGCACCGGAGGTTCTCTTTGGACCCTAGGATCGAAGCGCCAATCTCTACTCTTGATGAAGACGATGATGCCGAGGACGAGGATGAGGACGATGGTCTATATGACATCCCCATGCGATCGGACTTGGCTCTCGGGCGCCGGGGGACGAGAAGGATCTCGGCGCTGGGGACTATGTACCAGAGCATTGAGGAAGAAAAGGACGAGAAAGTCGACGCTCGGGCTGCTGTTCGGCTTCGTAAGGAAGATAAGGCGCGGCAGCGGGCGTTGGCTAGGTTCAGCAAGGTGCAGCGCAAGAAGGTGTTGCACGTGGAGGGGAAGCAGGGCGGTCAGTGAGTGAGCGAGTGGAAGGTGGGATTGGGCCGGAAACCTTGTTATCCTTTGTTATATAGTGTGTACCGGTAAGACACAGGAGTGGATTTGTATACGTTATTGAGGAGTTTTGGGGCGGAACAATACCCAGGGTAGGATCTCGAGGATGTCGGAAAATGGGTCTTGGGTTGAGATTTAGAGACGGGTAGCATCCCTCGGGGGAGTTTTGTAGGAGACGTCACGAATCACGCTTGCTTTTTTGGCCATTTGATAGAACGACAATATGATACCACGTCTTATTTGTACCACACTCGTTTCGATTGAGTTACATCATCTATCACAATTGAAGTTCGGCTTGTTGCTTGGATCAAATCTTTGATATCGTTTGTATATAAGTAAGATCTTTAGATGACTCCCTAGACCTGGTATGATAGATACTCTTTCCTTTTGTTCTTCTAGACCCTGAAACCCCTGGAAGATACATTGTAGCCAGGAACGATGTTTACCTCCAAAGATGCGTACATCAGCAATCCGATTGACAATGAATGCATAATTAACTACGAAAAAACAAACATGCCATTATGCACTCCGTCATCGCCGCCGCCGTCATCACCACCACCACCCAGGAACGCACTCCAGTCCATTTCCACCAGCTGCTCGTCGCACCACATGGACATGTCTATACTGTTGTCTGTAGTAGTCGAGGGCGTGCGGATGGCGGAGCCGGCACCAGAGCCTTCGAGGTCGGCAGTGACGGCTTCGTACAGTGCACCAACGATATCGGGGGTGCGGTCAGAGGCGCGCATCCAGGAACGCATTTCGTTGAAGAGTTCGAGGGCCTTTGTGAGGCTTGCACACCACGAAGGTAGGAGGATATTGTTTTCGGGGGAGTGAGCTATCGCTGCTGTTGGCATCGGTAATATCCCTAGGTTTGTGGTTGTTTGTGGGGAGACTGCGGGTGGTACGGGTGGTGGTGGGTATTGTGATTGCGATTGTTGCTGTTGCTGTTGCTTGCGAGTGAGGTTTCGCAGATGTGCGTCGATGGCGATTGAGAGTATGGGAACCATGCATGCTTGGAATAGGTACCATGCCGAGTTCCAGACATGGACGCGGTTGGGTGTCCAGTAGAGCGTTATGGCATCGATGGCCTCTATGGCGACTGAGCGACAGGTGTCGACGAGGGCTAGCTCGTCAGGAGTAGGCCCAGTGACAGCCGAGATGGTGGTGGCGCCGCGTCTGAGGGCATGATCGTGTGCAACGTAGAGTAAGAAGCTGCGGGTCAGGATGAGGCGGACGTTCAGATAACGGTTTCGCATGAACTCGCGAGCTTCCGTTAGGCGGGGTGGAGAGTTTGCTGGGTTCTTAAGGTAGTCGGGGAGAGAGTCGTGCCATTCTACCAACTCGCGGTCGAAAGCCATGGCCTCGTGGGCAGATAACCGCGCGGGCTGTGCAAAACGATGCTGAATCCTGTCGCAGATGTGGCAGAACAGACAGCTTGCTCTCAAGGAGGCTGCAACGTGGTCGTCGGGGAATAGAGGCGTAGGTAAGAGGGTGTCCATAGTACTACTGTCCCATCGACCGCACGTTGGACGGCCGAGAGTCATGCTCGCCCACGTGTCGAGGCAGAAAAGACTCCACCAGGTCCGTCTGCGCGTTTCGGCGCGTGAGATGTAGTTGCCGTGCTCTGTGACGTTCTCGGCGCGACTGCGAGCGGGTTCTCGGTGTAATCCCAGGGCTATAGCGACGCGATGAGCGGCACCGAGGACGGCGTACGCCATATTGGGTGAGTTTCGGTAGTGCAGATAGTAGCCCCCGAGCAAGCATAGAGCTTGTAGGCTCTCCATGTTGCCAGAGCCCAAGGAATCGAGGTCAAGGTGGGCGCGGGCCTGTTTGTAGTATTGGACGTGGAGAGAGTCGCTGCCGGAGGCGATAGAACCCAGGGTGTAGACCATATTGAGTAGGGCCAGCCAAGAGCCGTCGAGACGGGTTCCTGATGCAAGATTGCGTCTAAAATCGTCTTCATTGAGAATCGGCGTTATTGGATGAATGTGATCAAAGTAAAAGTCGATACAGCGCTGTTCCCGCAGAGGGTTCAAGCCCGCGCCTGGGCTGACAAGAGACAGTGGCGGAAGCAGCTGGGATTGGTAATGAACATCGTTCCACGCCTTTGCTCTCTGGGCAGTGTGCTCTTTAGCAGCGGGACAGAGACGGAAAATCGCTCTGAGAACGGCGCTCATGGATGTCGCGCCGAGATAGGAGCGGCGGTGCTGGTCTGTTGCAAGACTGACGGCGTTGATATCGTCGCTGGAGCCTAAGGTCGTGGGCTGCTGGGCTGGTTCGTCCCATCGTCTATCGTTTGAGGCCTCTCCATTTTCAGAATTCTGCGCCGAGTCATCGGGGCCGGAGTCATCGTCATCCTCGTCGGCAGCTGAGACGCCAACTGGTGACGGGTCGGCTTGCGGAGCTGAGGAGCGTAAAACAAAGAGAGATTCTCGCGGCAATAAGGCTAGCAACTCTGCTCGACTCTTGCCTACCAGATCATTCACGTTGACGTTGAGAAATAGTTCCTGCAGCACGCTTGACTGGGCCCGGAGTTGCTCCGAAGTCTTTTCAAGAGTACTGGGGTTAATGTCAACCTTGGTGATCCTGCAAGAAGGAGCATCGGGGGGGGGGGGGGGGGGGTTGATGAGGGGCAAGGATTATTGTATACCTTCTGCTGACGGCATGTCGTCTGCTTCGCTGCCTGTACTCGCATGAGTCTGCAACCTTGTAGTACTGGCAACTCGCACAAGGATGTCCACCATCGCACTTGACTTTGCGTCTCGTGCATTCCTGACATGAGCGGTTGACCTTACGTGAGGTTGTTGGAGAGCTCACGGCCGAGCCCTCGGGGCTACGGCGGCTGTCAAAGGAGTGGAACATGGTCGACCGACCCGTGACTGTGGTGGTGGTTGTAGTCGGCATTTACACGGCCCTCGGCACGGCGAAAGACCCAATTGAGCGGTAGACATTGGGGGGAAGGGATATGCGGAGTGCCGGAGATTTGGAGGAGCGGGCCTGGAAGAGAAATATGTGGGTTGAAGAAGAGGACGGGAAGGGTGACGTTCAACTGTCCGTGAGGAGGAGTTTTAGGATGAGGAGTAGGAGTAGGAGGAGGGCCGAGGAGGAGGATGTCAAAGGAACGGCGCGGGGAAAGTGCGAGGAGAGCCTGTGATGAACATGGGGGAAGAGCACCCGATTGTGGGGTTAAGTTGGCAGTTGCCAGTTGGAGTTCTGCACTAAAAACTTGAGTTATATCAGTACTTACACCAAGTACCTACAGAGTACATTACTACACTACGTAACTCTTAGCACGAACAAGGATGGCACTGGTGGTTCTTTTTGGGAAGGAGTCGAGACCACCTCACCCGAGTCGGCGGCACCTTTGGGCCTTAGGCCTTGGGCCCTTCCTTCCATTGGCCAAGACCGGATCGCCCATTTTTGACACTTCCAATTGACCCTTCCCATTCAACTCAAGTCGCAAAAGAACCTGGAAAACTGGCTGCCTTGAGAAACTAACTAGTCAGTAGTCAAGGAGAGGGATCTCACGATGAAGATACTACTTTACTTACAAAGCCACAATAAGGCAGTGTCACTCTCGACACCTTCCCGTTCTGATAACCCTGGGCAGTCAAAAGGTTAAACGTCAAACATCAACTTGTGTGCCTTGAGCACGTTTTCCAGGCACCAAGCATTTGACTTTGGCTCTTGTCTACGATGCCGACTAAGGGATTGGCCGAACGACTTGTTCCACTTTCAGCCCGGCCCGATGATCTCCAGCACGTCAAAGCGAACCCAAGGTAACCTAGGCCCGCCCCAGATCTCTCTTCCACTGCCCACTGCTCCTAGCCCCTGATTGAAACACTGGGGACCTTAGTTATCAACCGAAGGCAAGGTAGGGTTCTTTCTAGGCAACAAACATTCTAGCCTTTGCTTATACGATCTCTCACCGTAATTACACCGTCAAGTGCCGTCAAATGTCCCCCTCTAGTTTCAGCCCCATGGATACTACCCACCTTAGGTAGGGCTAGACACCTTGCATCACGACATGCCCATGACCTTTTGCGATCCATGGTCCGTGGTATCCGCAAGCAACGTTGCAAGAAGCACGGGTTTCCCGATGCTTAAGCCTACTGTCTCTCCGTATTACCTGCCTGATTGATTGTACATGTGAAATGATGTTTATCGTGCGTGTAAAAAGAGGTTCGTCGGCAACGTGGCTGGCTCAATGGTAAATAAATTCCCCGGTAATATATCCAATTTCCGGTGACGGCTGACACAAAACTCCTCATGCCAAACTTTCATGATCATTGCTTATACCATTAGCATTATCACGATGGAAACACAGACCATTCCGAGCCTACAAGCCATCCTCATATAGGTGGTATCTAGTCATCTGTCAGGCTAGGGAGCTAGAGAAGGTACCTAACGTGCAAGGTATGCGGGGAAGGATGGACTTAATTCCCATCTCCTTTCCAAAAGGTCTTAGATGTGAGGCTGTCTCTCGCGCCGAAGGCATGTATATTCTACCCCCTTGTCTACTTCCATCGCCGATAATCCAGTCTCGGCCCACACACACGGCAATGGGACATGAAATGAAGCATGGCAAGAAACTTCCCAAAGGATCAAGGTGGAGACTGAGAAACGCCCGCTGGGTTTCGATTGAACCTCCCTGCCTCTCACCTTCCAGGTGCTCAACTTCTCAGGGCAGATGATCATCATCAGGACCCGCCGTCAAAAAGGCTAAGGGGCTCATCACGGGCCGGAGGAAACTGCCGGTCAAAGACCGAATGCAAGATGTATGCATAGTGAGCAGACGTATCCGTATTCCTCATGTCCTTCCCGATTCGAATCGAGATAGGTAAATAGCTGCATAGGGTGTGGCTGTTCCTGTGCACATCACACGGAGACACCGAACAGATGGGTAGCCAAGAGGGCGTACGGGAGGATCCTTGTGGATCACATACCACCATGCCTGGATCATTCTTCACTAGAGTCTGTTCACTCGAGTGTGTCTCACAATGATTCGACGATGAAAGTTTCTCTGAGCTGCCCCAATTTACAAGCAGAATAATGTGGATTTTTCTAGTGAGAGAGGGCGAGGAGGTGTTTAGAGCGCTCTCCAGGGATCAAAGCTGGTGGCTAAGTACTGCATTGCCATTCCTCACTGATTAATGTAGATACTCCTTGTCAAAATGACCGGCTGCTACTTTCGGCTTCTTCGGACTGTAACTACGGGGCCAAGGAAAGCAGTACAGTCTTTTAGTAACTCACTGCAGCGGCAACGGTGATGCCGAAAATCATGTGTCGACAGTTTGCTATCGGGGGGCTCAGGTAGGAGTGTTTCGTCACACTGTAGCCTTCCTGGTGATTTTCCATTTCTCTGAGCCGCAACCTTTCTTCATCTTGATGCCTAGCCTGCAGGGTGTGGATTGATTGTGCGATGCTGGGGGGTGAGAACTAAGGGGACTTTTTTTCTCGAAAAGTTTGATTCAGTCACTCTCTACTTGAGTGTCTTGATATAATTATGAAGGGTTCTTATTCACTCCGATTTGGCCTGTACCGGTGTCTGACTGTGGCCAAGATGGCGATCAACTTGCTCAGCCCCAGTCAGGATCCAAATTGTATCAACAGGTGGCGCCAACGAGGGATGAGGTATTTGTGTATTGGGTTGAGTTAACTACAGGGAGTTGATTTGGAACAAGCTACAGGTTCTTACTGACAATCACAGGCGGCGGACACGCATCGTTGCTCAAGGTAGGTAGCATTGGAGCCTCGGAGGTTTGAGGGAAGGTCCTCGAAACAGCCTCACTTGATCACCTCCGCACACAGAGGCCCTCGATTCATCATCAATCCGAAGCCAACTTCATCTTCTATGGTCATGCGATTGTGAACAGTCCAGTAGGTAAGGTATGAATCGGTATCTGGGACTACGCTTTGTGTGCTATTCAGTTTCTGACCAACTTGAATCTACTACATCTGGAGAAGGCAGGATCGAGCACAGCGCGATGCTTGAATACTTGGTAAGCCTTTGAGAGGCCGCCGGGAAGGATGCTGGTACGTTACTGAGAATGGCGTCGTGCACAGCGTTACGGCCGGATGGTCAGCGCCCAGGGTTGCTGGAGGTCTTCGGTACTGTCTCAGGGGGTCTCATTATATGAGTTTGCCGGGGAATAGAGCCTTGTGAAGCTTTGTCATTGCATCCAATCTTAGGAGGCTATGGTTATGGAGGGGCTAGGCTGCATTTCTTCGAATGAGGATAGACCCAATGGTCCATGGACGCTTGCATTCCAACAAGCTCCGAATAATCTCGATACTGGAACATACATATGGTAACAAATCAGCGGCCTCTCATTGCAGTGCTAATTGCTGAATAAAGGATGATTGAAAGACCATGCTTTTCAAGGCATGAGAAGTAGGATCAGTAATTTCAATTATCTATTCCATCAAGCAAGGTCAGACGATAGATCCTTCGCATAGCTGAAGTGCAGCTGCCAAACGAGAAGCTTCTGTCGGGGCGTAAACCTTTTACGACTTGGTTTGCAGCTAGAGTCTGAGTCTGGCCGATTCAGCTGTGTATATCCACATAGACTCGAATGGTGTCAACGGAGTAGCAGGATATGATCAACATACACCCTGGAATAAGAGAGTCCTGGGCTCATCCTGACGGGGATTCCTCCCTCCTCGATTGGACTGTGACTTATGCATCCCTAAACCGGATCAGCGCATCTGGGCATATCTAAAGTGATCAGACTTCGAGACACGAGGAAAGTCCCAGGAGAAGGATTCGGCGATCGCCGGACATTGCGCAGGTTTTTAGTTTCCAGACCTAGGTCAAGTCCATTAACAGTGCAGTAGGACGGTAAAAAACGTTCACCAATCCGATGTACGGATCTTGGCTATGAAGCTGACAATTCATGACATCGAAGGCTGGATGCTCCCAGATCTCAATAAACAGTATTAAGAATCCTTCCCCTGGAGGTTCCCCTAGAGGGCTAGCAAAGCCCCATGGGCATTCTTGGGTAATGCGGAGATATGGGGGACTAACTCTGTTGTCTCCCATCACCCTCCAAACCACCATGGACCATCAGTCATGGAATGGCTGGAAACGGATTTATTCGTTACGAATGATGAGAAGCGAGAGTTGACAACCTTGTTTGAAATTTCATCCTTCAGATGTCAATGATGGGCCCTGATCTATATTTCACTTATATCTTCCGAATGGGGGGGGATCTTGAGCCTGTAATACTTATCCTTGCCTGTAGTCAAGCCCATCACTCATTTCCCTTCTCATAGGTTCCCGACCTACACCCGAAGACTACGGATCTATGCTCAAGCCGCCTGAGCCTGATCTACGCGTCAATCGAGGATTCCATCAGGAATTGCCAAAATGATTGTAAAATACTTCAATAGCATCCCTCATCTCTCGAAAGCAATCTCCGAAAGCCTCAAACCCGTGTTCTTGAGACCGGACACGGTCTTCAGGGCCGTAATCACATCCGTACCAAAACTTCCATAGCCGTATGCGTGGCTGCCAACTGATCTCAAGAAAGCTGCCGGCGCTGCTCAGGTCATGCTGACCCACGGCCTCGTAATACTAATCCTCGTTGCTTAATAACTCCTTTCATAAGGCCAGCCTAGCGTCCTTATCCCCTTACTCCTTAATGTAATCGATGACAAAAGCTCTACGCGCGAGTCGCGGATCCATAATACGCTCGGCAAGGAACCAGGAGGCCGCCTCGGCCTTATCGGTAATGCGCAAACGACTTTAGTACTAGAAATCTAAGTGAAGCATGCAGGCCTTAGCGCGCTGGTCGACAGAGAAGAAATTCAGTAGGGACAGCGTGACGACCTCGATACGATCTACTCCGTAGCGTATCGTATCTCGATTCATGCGCGTGTGGTCAAATAAGGCATGGGCAAGCCGAACACTGCGGGCGGGACGAGCAGTCTCCGTAGTATCATACACGACGAAGCCGAACGAGGGGCGTAGAGCCCGGATCGCGCCGTCGCGAGGCTTCTTGTCGAGGCAGTGGCGACACATGGTGCTGGGATATAACGGCGCTAAGCTAAAAATGCGTAAAAGAGATGGAATGTTTTTTGTTGCATTTTCTGCTGTTGGCTGAGGGAGATTGCTGGTTTAGTTGGGGAGTAGAAAACACATGGTCGTGGGTTCACTCATTTAGCGGCCATGGCTGCCTAGAAGTCATCGTGAACTGGGTTGCTGCCGCCTAGTTCCACCTCCCGATGGAGGTTAGACGCACCGCAAAGGTAACATGGACTGGCATGCGAGCCTTTTCATGTGTGAAGATTGAGGGTGATTCTGGTGGAAAGAAGAAATGTCGACAACTTTTTCTTGATTTCGACCCTCCCAACACGAGTCTTCCCCCTGGAACCTCGCATTTCATCGGAGCCCGAACTGCTTGCCTGCTTCGCTTCTTACCTCTTAAACTCCCCAAAATAAGATGCAGTTTATTACTATAGTCTGTCGGGAAGGCGCTGTTGTTACAGAACCGACTCGCTCACCTCAATACATTTGAGAACCTTGGCGAGTGTATTATCAAGCAGTTCATCCTGAGACCAATTTTCAGACTGCAGCTAACTTCCAGAGAGCATGCATTTTGAGGGCATCGTGCATTCGATGTTTGACTTTTGGTGGCAACGGCATGTGTTAATTAACTCATTGTGCTTTGAAAATGGGTATTTCTTCATCCTATTTACATGATCTCTTATTCCTAGGCAAATCAGTCATTGGGCGAAAAACGTGGCAATCATCCGTCGGAGTGTTCCGTAGACTCTGGCTCACTGTAGCCTCTACGCAAGTGACAGCGGCGCCCACCATTCGGTGTGCTTATTTGAGGTGAGAGGACCGGTGAAGACCCCTGGATCGGGTTTAGCGACAAGTTCTCGAGCACAGTGGTGTGAAAGTGCTGGTTTGTTGGTTGATGATCGTCCCAAGGGTATGATGGGTTATCTCCATATTCGATGAGGATTCCGCCAAGACACAACAACCAACAACGGACAATTTCCTCCGATGAAAGGAGGGGTAATACCTATCGTATCGTGCCTTCAAGATACGTATCTATGCCCTAGATCTCTGCGTTTCCCTCATCGTCGATACTCGAGCGCTTTCGCCGGTCATATTACCCACGTAATCAGCCCGCCACGACGCGAACGTGATTCAGTGAAGATGGAGACCACAAATCAAGCCAGCGCGGCTGGTACGTCTGCCTCCCTAGCTGCCACAGCCTTGCCGGCCGTGGCCACGATTGAGCCTACGGTAGTAGCAAACGATCCGGTCAGAACCTTCGCGCGATTTCCAATTGCTATGTCAGGGCTTGTGACTTCAGGATCTAGAAGAGCCTGCCCTGAACGCGACGAAAGAAGACTATTTTACTGATAAATCATGGAGTGCTAGAACACTGTTGTCCCAGCCGAAGACGACAATCACGATTCTTTGGCGGACATAGAGAGGTATGAGCGCTACCTCAAAATGCCAAGTGAGAGCCAACACTGACAGAATCTGGTAAAGCGTAACGACTGAGTCAACTGCTTCGCTTGCCGAGAGTATCACAGAATACCGCAGGATCCATGGCCGTACTTACACGCAAAAGGCCGATTACTGGGGCCCGAATGACGAACAGCAAAATGAAGGGCTTGATCTCGCGTGAGTAGGAAGTAAATTCCTCCTTCTCCTCATTTAGCTAATATGAGCCCTCGTTTAAGGCACTATTGGGAGACCCTTCTCCTGGGCGACAAGCTTTTCCTTTCGCCACTGGGCGGCGGTACGTTGGTAAGAACCCCCTTCCCTGTATCGAGATTACATGCAATCTCTGACGAATTGAACAGAAGGTTCTTGACTTGGGAACCGGTACTGGCATCTGGGCAATGTAGGTTTTGTGATTTGTTCTACACAATATCCTGCTCTTGGAATTGGTCAAAGCTGATCAGTGATACAGGGACTTCGCTGACGAGTTCCCGTCTTCCGAGGTAACGGGCGTTGACATCTCACCCATTCAGCCGGGGTGGGTGCCGCCCAACTGCAAATTCCAAATCGATGATGTCGAACAGCCGTGGACATGGACACCTGATTTTGATTTCATTCATCTCCGCCACATGGAAGCTTGCATCTCCGACTGGCCAGCTTTCTACAAGCAAATATATGATCACCTCAAGCCTGGCGGATACTTCGAAATGAAGGATTTTGACATTGAGTTTCGCTCCCAAGCGTACGGGGATAGTCTCCCGGAAGACCATGTCTATCGAAGATGGGGCAAGATCTTCTTCGAGGCTGCAAACCGTCTTGGCAAGTCAATGGACCAGTCCCGAGGTGGGCACAAGATCGCCGATGCCATGAGAGACGCCGGTTTTGTCGACGTTGTGGAGAAGAGCTGGCCTGTACCTATCGGAGGGTGGCCCAAGGATGCCACGCTGAAGGAAGTTGGCATTTGCAACCTGGAGTTCCACGATCAGTCGCTCGAGGGCTTTTCGATGTTTTTGTTGACTCAGGTGATGAACTGGGACACCATATCGGCGGGGGTGTTCGTCGCTGAAGCACGTAAAGCCCTCAAGGACCCAAAGCTTCAGACGGTGATATACTTGTTAGTTGATCGCGGTCTCTGTGGTCTATCCAAGATAATGCTGACGTGAAGTAGGCAAAATGTCTACGGACGCAAACCTGAGGGAACGACTTGATTCAGCTGTAAGCCGGTTCATGCCATAGCTTTGTTCATCTTGGCTAGTCCCAAGTAGCCACCTAGATTGATTGGGATCTCAAAACACCTTATATGAAGCGAATTGGGAAGCAGACGAGAGCAACAAATATTATTCTGGTCTGATCCTTTTTTAACCGTGCTTCAAAGTTCTTTGACTTTGTACCTTGGCATTTTACAGCTTTGACTTCAGCTCCGCATCTATCGCTTCCAGGCCGGAAGGTCCCCCGTATAGCTGCGCTTGTAAGCCATTCGTGTTGATCTAATGGTAAAAATGTCAGCTATGTTGCCATCACCGACAACAAGACCAGAGCTGGTGGCTCATAACTCACATGTCTCAGCCCAAGTTGATTCACACGCTCGACACCAAGTAGCCTCATCGTTGTGATAGTTTCGTCTGTAAGAACTACGCAGAATATTTCAGCTCATGGGAAATGACCCTCATGGTTGGGATAGACTCACTTTGCAATGCCCTTTCTACCCCGGCTTGTCCCCCAACTGCTAAGCTGTAAAGCGCAGCTCTCCCGATTCCTACACCCTTGGCTCCCAAAGCTAGAGCTTTGACAACGTCTGTACCTCTTTTGATACCTCCGTCGACGAGAACATCAATCTTGTCAAAGACTTCTGGACAGAATTTCCGAATCTCCAGAAGCACTTGGACAGGCGTCATCGTCGTGTCCAGAGCCCGTCCGCCATGGTTGGAAATGATGATGCCCTTCACGCTCGGGAATAGGGTCGCCGCGTACGCATCCTCGTGCGTCTGGATGCCCTTCAACACGATCGGGAGGGATGTATGTTTGGACAGCCACGCCAATGTCTTCTTCCACGTGAGTCCCGACTCCGTGCCCCATACACCCGGCGGCGCGCCTCCCGCAACCTCGGCCATCTTGAACCGCTCGTCTGCTTCTCGCTTTCCGGGAAATGGTGCGTCGAGTGTGAGCACGATGAACTTGATTTGAGGAATGGCTCGTATCTGTGCCAATGTCTTCTCGGTCGCTTCGATATCTTTTAAGACGTAGAGCTGCCAAGCAAAAGTCGCGTCTGGCCCGGCCTGGACAATTGCCGACGGGGACATTGACGCATTCTTGCTTATGATCTGCAGGCCCTTGAACTTTGAGCACGCAGCTGCGATGCCTGCCTCGCCTATCGGGTGCGCCAATTTGGCCATGGCCGCAGGCGAGACGTAGATTGGCATTCCGACTGCACTCCCAAGGAGACTGGTCGACAAGGAGCACCGGGTACAGTCAACAAAGACTCGTGTTCGGAGGAGAATAGAACGGAAGATGGTGCCGTTCGCAATCTTAGTGACCTCGTCATCGGTTCCGGAGGCGTAGTATGAGATGGCTTTTTGGCTCAGCTTTTGCAGGGCATAGTGCTCCATTTCAGCAATGCTCAGGATCTGAGACACTGGAGGTATACCATCTGACTGGTCTGTTGATGATGACGGGTCTGCGAGTACGTTAAGGGGAGGCATATCTGGTTGCTGCCCAGCTTCTGTTGCTGTGTCTTCAAAGATGCCCATCAACTGGTCAGGGCGGAGATACTCTTCGACGAGCTCAACGGGATGAACGGCATCAAACACTGCAGTAGCATCTTTGCCGGCATTCCTTAGGAGAATGGCTTTGCCGCCAGGGTGGCTAGGGAGAAATGATGTGATCTGCCGCTTCTGGTGAGTTTCGAGACTCTTGTTGGGGGACCAGAAAACATACATCGTAGACTTTGCCATGAATGACCATCCAACAATCATCAACAGTGTGATGTTGCCGCACTGGGAACTTTTAGCTTTCTGCTGTTTCGTCATGCGGCACGAGATAGGGACCTTCGGGGAGCAACCACGTTCGGCTCATGATGGCTACAGAAGAGTTGACTCAAACATCGTTTGCTTCTGCGAATGGATGAGATTGACAGTACAGCATGGAACTGTTAAGTTCTTGCAGGCGGGTGTCACGATGCCCCGAAGTGACCAGGCACGATGCGGAATCTCTTCCAATTGGTACCTTTACGTGGTCTGTGGCATGTATCTCACCATGTCCACACCATACTCTCGGTCGGGAGTTTATATTCCCGCTTGCCTTTCTAGGACGCGGGCTTTCATATCTCCGCTGAGAGGTGGATACATTCCCCAAGCTCTCCGCAGTTGATCCACCGTTCTCCCCACCATCTGGGCCAACCCCAAATTCCTACTTCTGAGCCTGGATTCACCATTCGCAAAGTAGTATCCGTAAGAATACAGCAGAGAACCAGCCGAATCCTTGTTCAAAAACAGTGATTGAATTGAGGCTTTGAATACCTAGGAGGAAAGCGTAGGATCTATGAGATCCGAGAAGAGGAAGCTTAGTATCACAGACCACAAGTTGTCCGGTCTCTGCTCTTTAATTACCTGCACCAGCAAGCTACTAATAATTGCGGGAACTTCATCTCAACTCACAGTTTAAGCAGTGGAGGGACTCTGTGAATTGCAATTTGATGTTGTCCTACGGTGTGATCGTGAGAAAGAGAATATTTGTGGGGACTTGGTCGAACTGGTCAGTGAGTTGCGACACAGCATGCCGGTTGCAACTCATTAATCTTTCTCGTAGCACAAGAAAGCTTTTCCTTCACGACCGGGGCATACGGCGTGAGATAGCTCTCCTACCATCAACAACAGATGTACATAACTTTAGGTACTCCCTGGCTTGGTGAACTGGCTTATGTTTTAGGCGAAGGCGCCGAGATTCTGTGATCACATAATATCGGAGTTCCATTTTTGATATCCAGCCCCTTCCTCAAGTCCCTACCTAGTTGTGTTGCTCGGCAACTTGGGGAGACTTTCAGCAGAACTTCTTACTTAATTCACACACCGCCATCCTCACATCGTCAAATCTTATATTTGCTTGTTCAGTCAACTGATTGCAATATGGGTCGAGGGCGAAGACGAAAGAAGACAAAGCGCTTGGAGCACCACCAGCAACAGGAGAAGCAACAGAGTCACCATTTACAGCAGAGACTACAGCACCCTAAGGAAGAGGCGCGAAAGCACAAGCAGGGTCATCCGCCAACGCAACAACAGAACCAACACCAAGGAAACCACAAGCGTCCACCTCCACATATGGTTCCAGGGACATACATACGACCCCAATTCAACCCCAAAAGTCGTCCTGAGTGGTTCTTTCGCTATCTAGAATGGTTAAATGTACCTTGCTCGTCCGGCGGCCCTAATTGCGAAGTTGCAGTCCTTGAACTCAACCACGAAGCCTTTGAAGAAGACCTTTCTGATATTGAGCCCTCAAAGAAGGAATGTACCTAAGATGAAGATGGCTCTGATTGCGAGTGTGAGCTGCCTTTCTGGCGAGAGTACATGGGCGATGATGAAGAAGAAAGGCTTTTTCGCGAAGTGAAATATCAGCGGGCGATGTTCAAGCGCGAATGGGTGTCCGAAAGAAGCAAGCACTACGAGAGGAAAGGAAAGGAGAGATTGGAACGTGTGGGCCAACAAAAGAATGACAAACTCAAGAAAGTCAAGTCTGCCGTCGAGATTCTACTACAAAATGTATCGAGAGATGAGAAACGACCTCTCTATTATTTGAGTCGTAACATCATGTCCAAGTATGACTTGTTCTCTGAGGATTACACAGCTCGCTTGTGTCCCGATGGCATTCGAACAACCAGGACAATCGACTTTACCGACATGGCATCATTCCACAGCATGGAATACCCAAGACTCAAGGGAACAACGGATTTGAAGGTTGATAGGGTGTTGACAGGGTGCCTATCAATCGATGCCCCAAACAACCCTGACGATGACATCCGCGTTGAATTTGCATCATTTGAGTGCCCTCAAACTACAGGAGTTTACAAGATTTGAACAGGCAGAAAGTATGGGGCTCGGGAGTTGAAGGATAATATTCTCAGCGATGATTACATTGTATTGGATGTCCACCCCGACGCGATCTTTCGCGATGAGTGCGGAACAAAGCTTCCCACTCGGCCGAGACACCCCCTACCCCAGTATCAATTTTGCGGCATAAATAGGGCGCTAGGTAGTGATATTCTTTACCATAGGTGAGGCATCTCAGTCCAAGGTTAGGAGGCAGAAAGAAGACAGCGGATAAGTGTATTGTTAATAGTGGTGGTCGTTGATGATTTGAAAATGACATATCTCCTCGTTTTACCGTCAAAACTGTTTGAATTGACGCCTCTTTGTGGAGGGTCCGCAGAACACGGGAACACGCATGCTTAGCTAAAAAAAATTAGAGATGATTGTACACAACAAGCTCAAAAACGGAAACAAGTTTGAAAGAATCTAGAATCAGGCGAGGGTGCTGTTGACAAATACATTTCTAAAGATTTCTTTGTTCTGATCTAAACTTAAGATTGGTACTATCATGTTTAAACTCGGAGATCATGTTAGATGTAACAAATGACTGGTAGAAGTTTCTAGCAACCGCCCATCAGCAACACTTCCCAAGTATGCTACTTTTGATGCCTTACTCGCCACCGGAGCCGTCGTTCTTGATGCAGGCGTCAGAGAAGTCGCCGCCCTCCATCAACTTGCCGGAAGACTTGCAGGTGATGGTGGTGCCACTGTTGGAGAGGAAACAGTCGGAGCAGAAACCCGGACAAGTCTTTCTGGTCACATCGTTATTCTAATATTGTCAAAATGTGTCTCGATCTTCATCTAGTCAGCTTGGAGGGCAGAAGAGCTTACGGGGAAGCTGACGATGAACTGACCGCTGCCACTGGCGGTGATGCAGTGGAGCTCCGTGTGCTTCTTGGCGGCAACGCTGTGACTGTTAACCAATGCTCAAGAAAAGCGTGCAACCAAGGATCATCGGAGAAAGAAAGAATCCAGGCGATATGAGCGATTGCTGAGACCCCTTTGATCGTTTCGTCAAAGACGTGTTTGGCACCAAGATCGGGAACGTGTACGAGCTCGAGATCGCCGCGCTCAGCAAAGGCAGCGATAACGCCCTGGATGAGCCGTTTAGCCCTTCCCAGAATCCGGACCGTTCCACGGACCTTGAGACCGCGTTCGAGAAATTGTTTTGTCGTATGCGCTGCTATGTGGCCGGTAGCACCGGTGACGAGGACCAAAGAGCCCTTTGGAATCGCGGGTTTGGGGCTAGACACGGCAAGGAATATGAGTAAGGCGTAGGAGTTGTAGAGAATACTTAGTTGTTCCTTCCTTGGAATGGTCATAGAAGAGAGCCTTCTGGCTCCGCGCGAACACTTGCAATCATAGACCTTTCAGATCAAGTGAGCAATCGTAGCGAGAATTCTCACCCAATCCAATTGGAAAGGCGGACTATGCTCTTCTATGCTCTAATGAGAAAGAGCAAGCCTTGGCAGCATTAGTTGCTGACGCGGACGTTGAGCCGCATGAACTTCGACCGCTACCCTTGCTTGGGCCGCATATAGTAGTGTACTGCGTAGGATGTCCAATTACAAATTCTCACCGGAGAAGAGCCAGGGTATCTGCGGCTTATATCCTACAGTAGCTGACAAATGGCACAAACTTCATTCTCGAGCAAATCCTAGAATCAGGAGGGCAACAATCCGAAGGACTTGGTATGTTAATGAAGCTTTTGATCAGATTGTCAACAACATCGCTATTATGTCACCCCAAGAGACGAAATATAGTTCGTGCATGTATATGGTCAGAATAGCTCAGAGGCCGCGTCGGCTGAGACACAGCGTCGAGCTCATTTGCATGCAGCCAAGGCAGCACACGCAAAGACTAGGCGACGCAGAATCGTCCAGTATCAAGCCATCAGATCAGCCGAGGTACAAGTAGCCGCCGTTTCAAGTCCAATTGCCTCCTTGGGATCTGACCGAAGAGACCCCTTCGTCAGTTTTGTTAGGGTCTTAATCCGATTGAAGGTTTTCTCGTAGACTATTGTTAGTCAGAATCATCGATTCATCTGTGCGAGAGATAGTTGGAGATAGGGATCTTGAACTTCCTAGCTCGACTTCTACTTTTGTTTTGAACTTCAGCTTTTCTCATTTTTAATTCTTGCTTCATGTATATTCACGACGTCGTGCCATATTCAAGTTACGAGACAATCCAGAGTGGTTTTGCGGGTGGCTGCACGCGACAATTAAACAACCAGTTTGTTCAGCTAGCTGCTACCAGCACCAGCGCTCTGAATGGTCTCTTTCTTCTGGCTCGCCGACATCTGTCAAACTGTGTGCCGTAAAATGAATCATACTATACTCAACTCGCCCTACAATACAAAGTTGTCTGCGCGCGGCTGCTCACGGAAGCTGGTTCAGGTTTGAAGACGCAATCCCCTATTGGTAATTCAATCATCACAATAGCCGTTTTTCTAGCACAAGATGCGGTGAGCCATTCCAAGTGTACTTATTACACGAAACAATCCTATTTATTCCACTAAGCTTTGATGAATGGCAGATCTTGGCGGGTGATATTGCTTCGACACAGCAGCATCTAGAAGGGGCGATCCACATGGTGAGACACAATGGGGCGCTGAACAAGAAGGGCTTCAACGTATTTCTCTACGACATCATCCAGAACGACATTGCAAACTCCGTATTGATGAGAGGAGCTGTATAGTTAGCTTAATGGCGAATGAAGTGGTCAAGTCCCTGATCGGGGACCGTTGGTAGCAATAAGTCCAACTGCATTGAGTGACAACATCATGCAAGTAACAAGCCGACCATCGCGGAGGCCCGTGCGCATGCTCAGTTTTGGACTGTCCTCGGCACCCAGGGCCGGACCTGGTCTTACACTCGAAATGACGAAGGAGTCTACAAAATTGCCTAGTGCTTTGTCCGCAATAGCTGCGTTATCATGTCAACCATTTGTTTAAGAACCATGCCATGGTTGCCCAGCTCAGCATGGTGCCACAGACCCAGTATTTCCCCGACAATTTATATCCCCGCGTGGACCTAGCGTCGATGCTTTCCGGGGATGGTTAAAATCCGGGGCACTGTCGTTACCAGATTACAATCAGTGAGATATGCAGTCCATGTCGTGACAGTTGATCAGCTGCATAGCAGTTTCTTATTAGATAACACAAGATCGCAAACTCCCTCCCGCCTCCCTCCTCCACTCGGAACTCGTGGACTGACCAGTTCGGGTTCTCGTTTCCTACAGGCCACATTCTAGGATACCATCTCACGTTACGGGAGAGTAGGCTCCAGTGGGAACGGATCTCACGACAAGTCATCCCAATTCCTTACGCGATGGATAGCGCCAAGGACGGTCCCGTCCTTAAACACTTGGACGATGCTGACACCGGTGCTGATACTTATGCCATGATCATGGCAACACATAAGCCTGACCCCAGAGGACCCGGCTACATCAAGCTGTATCTCCTTGCGACAGTGTTGTTCTTTTGTTCAACCATGAATGGTATAGAGGGTCTGCCTTCGCACTGCACTTCCGGCGGCTGATTCGATATATCTTGTACTAGGATATGACAGCGCTCTCTTAGGATCTATCAACGCGTTACCCAACTATATAGAATATTTTGGGCTCCCTGTGAAAGGTAACGCAAGTACTGGCATCGTGTTCGCCATCTTTCAGGTATGTTCAAAAGGGAAGGCGTGCAGAACCGAGGTCACTAACACAGAAATTAGGTCGGCCAAATGTGTGGCGCGCTTTTCATCTGGATGGCAGATTGGTACGGTCGAACCTGGCACATCTTCTTCGGCTGCTTGGGTGTTTGCATCGGGGCAACCATAACGGCACTCTCGACGAGCCTGCCCATGTTCATCGGCGGGCGTTTCATCTTGTCCTTCTTCGCTACTTGTGCTCACACCTCTGCGCCCCTTTACCTGGTCGAGCTCGCACCTGCTCGGTATCGTGGCACTGTCGCAGGTCTCTACAACACCTTTTACAACGTGGTATGGCAACATCCAAAGACAAATCTGGGCATTTCAGAAGTTCAGGATAGTGCTGACAACTACTGCTCCATACAGGGCTCGATTTTGGCAACCTCGGCAGTGTATGCGTGCCACCGCTACCTCAGCGATCGAGGAGATCTGGACTGGAGAATACCGCTGTGGCTTCAAATGGTGTGCCCTGGACTTGTTTGCGTCTTGATCAAGTTCTTCCCCGAGTCTCCTCGATGGTTAGTGTCCCTCAACCACAAAATCGAATACTGGCTGATCCATGAGACAGGCTCGTCGCCAAAGACCGACATGATGAGGCCAGAAATATCATAGCAACCTATCATACCAACGGAGACCTTGAACACCCTCTCGTAGACCTTCAGATGAAGGAAATGATCAACTCGATTGATCCGACCCACGTGCCTTCGTGGAAGGATCTCTTCGATTTGAGGGTTCTTGTCGAGAGTCGGTCTAGCAGGTACAGACTTATGCTGAATATCGCATTCTCTTGGTTTGGACAGTTTAGCGGCAACAATATCAGTGAGAACTTTCATTATTCGTGTGTCAAGTCCCTCATTTTCTTCCGCAACTAACACATAATTACCAGTCTCATACTACCTCCCCATCATGCTCTCAGGCGTTGGTATCACCGATACGAACACAAAGTTGATACTCAACATCATATACTCTGTCATCGGCTGGCTCTTCTCAACTGCAGGCTCTCGTCTCCACGACGTCGTCGGCCGCCGCAAGATGCTCATCTCCACCACCGCGGGCATGACTGTTTGTCTTGCGCTTGTCGCAGGCTGCTCGGCAGGTTACACAGACTATGGCAATAAGACGGCGTCCACAGTCAGCATCGTATTCATCTTTGTCTTTGGTGCCATCTTCGCCACGGGTTTCACGCCAATGCAACCGATCTACCCGGCTGAGGTCGTCAGCAACAAGATGCGCGCCAAGGCAATGGGAACATTCAAGCTGACGGCTGGCGCGGCGGGCTTCCTCAATACTTTTGTTGGGCCTATTGCTCTTTCGAATGTAAGTGCATACATGTAATCTTGATTGGCCGACTTGACTGCGCTGCCGTACAATACTAATGCAAGTAATCTCCGGCAGATTGGTTATTGGTTTTATGTCTTCTTCGTGGCCTGGGACAGTTTCGAAATGCTGTTCATGTATTTCCTCTTCGTCGAGACAAAGGGGTTCACACTAGAGGAGCTCGATGAAGTATTCGAGGCAGAGAACCCTCGCAAGGCTTCGGTAGAGGCAAAAAAGAGACAGCAGGAGATCACGAGGGCCGGTTCAGTCGCTGCATGAGACAGATCTCTCTATATATCATTGGAAAGGGCATGGCTGGTCTGAGGAAGTTTAGCATTATACGAGATCTATCTCAACCTCCGGCTTAGTCTCAAACCAAGATTCATCTCTTAAACAGAACCACCCAGCCCGCTTCCATTTTCCCTCATGCGGAACAATCATCAACCCCTCTTTGTCAATCAGCGGAAGACCCCAAACCTCTTCGAATTGTTCTGCTTCCTCGGGCACATCAAAGGCCCCCACAGCAACGACCTTATCTTCGTTTCTTGTTGGATCTGACTTATTTTCAGTTGAAACGAGCAAGACTGAGTGACTCAGCATTTTCTTGTAAGGAAGCCATCGCTTTCTTGACTTGTCCGCCTCAAACCATTCAACAATGCCCGTCTTGATCAGAGTTGCCTTTGCAGTACGTCCCGAGATTTGCAGTGTACAAGACGGCATGTGGAGAGTATTCACGTCGCAGTCTTCTGCGGCCGTCCATCTGGTCCCCAGACTAGGTCTAATCTTGATGTAATTGCCGTCTTGAAATAGCTTCGATTTCCTTGGATTGTAGATGCGATGGAGCGGGCCTTCGACAGACGCCCAAGACCACGACGGCGCGCGGATCACCGGCGCTGGGGCAAAGGGAGTTGGTTTCGGACGCGTTAATGAGGTGCTGAAAAATGCGTGCACCTGATTGCGTGGTTTCCACAACAAGCCTCTTACGAGATCTTCTTCCCAAATGCCCGCGAGATAGCGAGATTTCAGCACCTCTTGCGCAAGGATCGCGATGGATGCGATGGCCGCGAAGACGTCATGCGGATTCGATAGAGCCCTCATCGTGAACAGGTCGACGAACTCGTACCACATCATAAGAGTAGTCTCTTTGTCCGCCGCTGAGTGAGGAGCACCCGTGGAAAAGCCAGGGGTGAGGAAGGTGGGCTTGAGATCCTGAAAATCGACTTGCCCGTCCTCCCAGTTCTTCTCCTCGCGGCATTGGTAGATGATCTGCTCCTGACCGAATACGATGGACCGAGTTGAGAGTTTTTCTTCCTGAAAACACCACCCTCGCGTGGACACGGGTCCGACAACAGTAGATCTTGGAAGACAGACGTTGATAGTATCTTCCGTGTTTGGACCAAGCGGCAACGCGCAAGGAGGGACCTTTTGTTGAAGTCCATTCGTAAGGAAGCCGTTGCGAGCATCATCCGAACGGCCAGCGATGATGGTCAAAGCCGCATTACCGTACACATGTGCCATGCGCTGCGATTCCAAGGCCCAGTCATCGGCATCGCCTTGTATTATGCAAAGCGCATCGATCCAGAGGTATTCAATGCCAAGAGAGCGCGCAAAACGGATGGACTCTTGATGAGCCCTGGTCAGCTTCTCTTGAACGACGCCATGCAAGAGCTCATTTTTGGTCTGATGCGTCAGCTTGAAGGTATCTGTCCCGGGACCCCAGCAATAAGACAGAGCAATGTATGACTCTGTAAGGCCATTTGTGACTATCAGTTTCGGATTTTCATTGTTCTTGCCGACCGCAATGACGCGAGTTGGCATCTCCGAGGACCTCGGTTTGCAGAACTTGTGAGAGTCTTTGCACTTTTTCAAACGCCAACTTGCAAGATGCATGTAGACATCAGGATCGTGGTCCGCACTTATGTACCGTTCGATGTACTTGCGCGCTGCCGGCGTTGTCCGGCTTCTGCAGAAGGTCAAACTTCAATCAGTCTGCTGAGTCCTGGCTCAAGAATGGTGATAAGAGTTGCATTGGACATGGAGGACTTACGCAAAAAGAGATAGACGCGAGGCAAATGGCATCCCGGGGCGATTCGTCTCTTCCAGACCAGCATCCGGATGCATTCTTCCACACGAGATCCAGATGGCACATCCTGGAATTTGGTCGCTGACGCCGCGGTTGCCTTGCCTCACCTCGCCCTGGAGCCAGATGCTCTGGACAAAGGACTCTTCCTCGTAGCCTGGAGGTATCTGATCATTAAGAAGGGCGTCGGTGACGGTATGATGGTTGTCTTCCATTACACGAGTGTAGCACAGGGTGCAGAAGGGACACTTCGTCGCGGCACTTCGCTGGAGAGCCTTGAGGCTGGGGTGAAAACGAACATCTGTGGCGTCTAGCTGGTCAATGTTGAGCTCTGAACAGACTTTGCAGAGAGACATGGTTGTTGTATTAGGTCTCCTGATATCTCAAGCGACAGAATGGCAATGTTAATCTCTTGCCGACGGCATGAGGAGTACGAAGCTGTGAAGCTGTGGAGTGAGGACAGTCCCTCGTGCCAGCCACGAACAGCTGATACCATGCTAGCCAGTGGGACACTAAGTTGAATGGATCGCGAAGATCCTATAGGTCATTGAAACTTCGCCTGTCCTAAATATGCAGGTAATACGCCAAGTTCTGCCGGGCCCCATGTCCGCCGAAGGCATCTGATTACCTTAGCTGACGGTAGGGTTAGTCGAAGACGCTGCCATACAGAACTTCTGGGAACCCAAAAAGCATCCCATCATCAATGAGCTGCAATACATGGTAGGCGATGCTAGAGGCCGTTCCGACTTTGATGGGAAGAATTCGTCAAGTAGGTAAATGTGACGATGGGAAGCAGGGATGAGATGATCGAGCGTGAGGAATACCCACAGTGCCGCACTAAGAGATGTTTGCCTTACATAAGCGGGACTTCGACGCTAACGCTCGCCGATAAGATAAGCAAAGACCCGCCCCTCCCAAATTTGGATTTTTTTTTGATCTGGTTAGGATTGCCTGCGGTCGCAGACTTCTGGTGCAGGTTCCTTTGAACATCATCATACTTTCGCAGTACAACAATATCCACGATGAAGAGAAAAGCCGACGAGACCGCAACTACGCCCGAGAGCGAGAAGCGCGCAAAGACGGAAACCTCTACACCCGAATTGTCCTTCTCCGATCTAGGCCTCGACACTCGATTGGTACAGGCTGTCGCCGCCGAGAGCTTCAAGGACCCTACCCCGGTGCAACAGAAGGCTATTCCATTGGCTTTGGATGGCAAAGATGTCGCCGCGAAGGCGCCCACTGGCTCCGGAAAGACGGCTGCTTATGTCTTGCCTGTGCTCTCGAGCATTTTGAAGCGCAAAGCTGTATGTAGCAGTGTTGTCATTGGAATAACTGAACCCTGCTAACCGCCAAAAACTTCAGACCGATTCTTCACCTGCAACGACCGCCCTGATCCTCGTTCCGACCCGTGAGCTTGCCGACCAAGTTCTCAAAGCGATCGAACAATTCTCAGCATACTGCGCAAAAGACATCCACGCAGTTAAGCTTGTCGACAAGATCTCCGATGCGGTTCAGCGTTCCCTCCTCTCAAACTTCCCCGACGTCATCGTCTCTACCCCCGCTACCGCATGGCGTAACATCACCTCCGAAGCGCTGTCGCTGGATAGCTTGACATGCTTGGTTCTCGATGAGGCCGACCTCATCCTGTCATACGGATACGACGAAGACCTCGAGAACATCGCGCGAAAGCTTCCCAAGGGCGTCCAGCTCTTGCTGATGAGCGCGACGCTGTCTACAGATGTTACCACCCTCGGCGGAATCTTCGGACGCAAGCCTACAATCTTGGATCTCGATGAGGAGGAAACAGAGAACGACAACCTTTCACAGTTCGTTGTCAGCTGCGGAGAAGACGAGAAGTTCCTATTGGCATTCATCATCTTCAAACTGAAGCTTGTCAAGGGCAAATGTCTCATCTTCGTCAACGATGTTGACCGTTCATACCGCTTGAAGCTGTTCCTCGAGCAGTTCCAGGTCCGCAGCTGTATTCTGAACTCGGAGTTGCCAGTCACATCGAGAGCGCACGTGTTGGAGGAGTTCAACCGTGGAGTTTACGAGATCATCATCGCGTCCGACGAGAAGAGCGCAATGGGCGCCGAGGAGAAGGATGGCGAAGAAGGGGGGTCGTCAGAGCCAAAGAAGGAGAAGGACTCCAAGAAGAAGCGGAAGTCGAAGCGGGACGCAGAGTTTGGCGTTTCAAGGGGTATCGACTTCAAGAATGTGGCTGCTGTGGTGAACTTCGACCTGCCGACATCAGCATCTTCATACACACATCGCATTGGCCGTACAGCGCGCGCTGGCCGGACAGGCATGGCACTGTCATTCTACGTCCCTCAAGAGCTATACCGCAAGCACGTGCCCACGAGCATAGAAACCGCGGAGAACGATGAGAAGATCCTGGCGAGGATCAAGAAGCAACAGGCGAAGCTTGGCAAGGAGGTGAAGCCTTACAACTTCAAGAAGGAGCATCTGGATGCATTCAGGTATCGTCTGGATGACGCCTTGAGAGCGGTGACCAAGGTTGCAGTTCGCGAGGCGCGTATGAGAGAGTTGAAGCAGGAGATTCTCAAGAGTGAGAAGTTGAAGAGGTAAGTTTAATCAGATGACTGATGGCTGGGTTCATCGTGTTGAATACGAGCTTTGACTTGGACTTTGCTAACCAATGTCAGATACTTTGAGGAGAACCCGACAGAGTTGCAGCACCTCAGACATGACGGAGAGTTGAGAACAGCCAGGCAGCAGCCTCATCTGCGGCACGTACCCGAATACCTGCTGCCCAAGGAAGGCAAGGAATCGCTCACAAAGAATGACATCGGTATGGTGCCGTTCCGAAAGATTGGTGGCAAGCAGAGGAGGAATAAGAGCAAGCCCGGTAAAGGCAAGAAGGTGGGAACGAGAAAAGTCAATCCTCTGAAGACTTTCAAGGCACGGAGAAAATGAGTAAAAACATCAATCATTCCCGGGACCGGTGGACTGTAGATACTAATAGCGACTCCCATTGTTTCCTGATATGACTCCTCCCTCGAAATACCTTAATTAAGGTACCCAAGCCAAATTTGATTTCGAGTTACTCGGCAACAACATTTCCGAACTCTGGACGCATCTCAGTCCGCGTCATCATCGTTGCCGTTCCATGCGTCCTTCACCGCGCGGCTATGGTAGGGACGATCTGCGCGTGGGGTTATCGTCCGAGCTATGGCGATCTTATGTGATCGTGATAAACTAGAAGTATCTTCTTTTTTCGCATTCCCTGGTGTTAACCCGATTGGCGCTTAGGCAAAGAGCAAACGGAGAACAGCCACGGTAAATATAGTTAAGGTGGTCGTACTCTTGGTCTCGGTTCTCACTCCGTAGATGACCTAGTTCGCACAGCCAAGTCTTGCGCTCGCCGATCTGACAAGAGAGAAATTCTCCCTGAAGGCCGAAGAAGAACAGAACACTGACCTGCAATTAGACCTGCTGCATGTCATCGGGGCGTGGTCCGAAGATGCTTCTAGTCTGCGTTGACAACCTGGGGAGGGAAGAAATCGAAGGGGCGAAGGCCTGAAATGCTCAGACGGAGAGAGGCGCTGAAGCCATGCACAATGTGTTTCGGCACGAGTCGAAAAGTCATCCCGTCTCTCGGCCATTGCGAACCTCTCTCATACAATCGCAGCCGCACCCGCCCCTCGTAACTGACGAATCGCACCTGGTTCCGAGAAGTCTCGGCGGTTCAATGCGAAGCTTGTGGCATCGCGGATGGTCCCGGAGCACGGATGGCGCACCCATCGCAACTCTGGAGTCTTGAATCTTGGCTATCGCGGACACGCCCCGACCGCGGTTGGTCTCGCGACATCAACCACAACAGGGCGGTTGCCGACGATGAGATGAGTAGTAGCTAGATACGAGTATCCCGCATTCTCTTACCATCGGTGAAGATGAGTCGTTGCCACACAACCTGTCACATCACGCTGTGAGCATGCATGTCAGAAATGTTAGAGCATGTGGACAGCATGCTGACCATTTCGTGGGCGGATATAATGATCCAAGGGTGTCCCGGGAGTTTGGAAACGAGTCGAACCACTGGATCACAGGACCACATAACGCCTATTTCTTTCCCAATACGCACGAAAGGCACGAACGGTACGAAAGCCGACTAGCACCACGTCGCTAATTCTTGTCAGCCCTCAACACAGAAAGGTCGCCAAGTTTCCACACTTAGAATAAAGCCTTGGCCTGTCTCACACACACATCAAAAACAAGGGAGGTATTAGACAATGATGACCGCCAAACCGCCAACACCACCAGACTCACCATGCTCTGTTCAATCCTTGGATGTTGAAAAAGCCGCAGTCATGGCAACAACAGCACAGCCAAACACCACCGCCGGGGCCGCAATTTACATGCCCATACTACTCCGCTACATCTACGACCCCGTCGTCCTCGGCTTCTACTGCCCAAAAGCATGGCGAATTACTTCAAGACGGATGCGAGAGTTCTTCAACAGGCACATCTCCAGCGCCGCGGCTCGCTCACAGTCACCCGGCCTACGCAGAACACCGGACGCCGCCTTCTCACCGTGCCGGATACTGGACATTGGTGTCGGTACGGGGTATTTCCTCAAGCATGCGCCCATAGCAGCTGGTTCAGAAGTCTATCTCGCCGATCTCAACCCCGCGGCCCTCAAAGCAGCCAAAGAACGAACGCTAGTGGCGCATCCTAAGACGAGCTGCGAGACCTCCGTCGCCGACTTTCTGAATCCTCTTGGCAAGGGGTTGTGTTGCAAGGACCTTGGCGGAGGCGACTTTGATGCAATTTCTGTCATGATGCTGTTGCACTGCGTGCCTGGTCCGCCGTCCAACAAGGCCGAGGCGTTGACGCGATTACGGCATCTGCTGGCGCCGGGCGGTACGGTATTTGGGATGACGATTCTGGGACGGGGCGTGAAGCATAACCTGATGGGAAAGCACCTCATGTTCTGGCACAACTTACTTGGTGTGTTTGGGAACACCGAGGACGATGTGGAGGGCTTTGTTGGACCGTTGATGGATGTGTTTGAGGATGTCAGGTGGGAGGTTTGTGGGACGATGCTCTTGTTCGAGGCTAGTAAGCCAAGGTCGCAAACACGGGACTTAGCTACGAGTATACATCTCTCATGAAACGCATGATATGGAGATAGGGTAGTCAGAAGAAGCGGTCTGAGGTTGTCAGATTGTAAGAATGGCGGATGTATATGTTGACGAGACACATGAAGAAATAATGACCAAAGATTCGATTCTGATGAAACCTGACAAATACGAGAGTGAGCCGTGGCACAGCCTTGGCAAGCATATTTTCGTCCGTTGAACTGACGTAATATCTCTTTAGAGTTACGAATGATCTGCTCGCCACCGCTGAAATAAAAGCGAATGTAGGGTGAGCGGGATGCGGAACTTGCCAAAAGGTTAAATCAATATTCGCCAATTGGAGGAACATCTAGTACGAGTGCACGAACAGGAAGTCTTTCGCTGGATTCTTTGTAGAATTAGAGTGGGTGGTAGGCTGTGATCGGTCAGGAGGACCGAGATGGCACTACACGGTGATCGGGACAATGTTCGGTCTGGATATTTACGTATTACTTGATCAGCCTTGTGTATCAAATAATCTTATAGTGGTGCAATGAATTTCACTTCGACGATCGTTTTTAACTTGTACGGACGCGTCATACCTTCACGGATAGTCGGCACTATGGATCAACTTCGTCAAGCGGTGACAAGTGCCAAGTCCAGAGAAGAGCAACAAGCTTCTTTGGTAGGTGTGCCGATCGGTCTTGGAAAGGTACGCAGGTATCAAGATGTAAACACGGCTCCGAGAAGTCCGTCTATGTCATTCTATCTATTCGCATATGTCTAAGAACAAAATGTCTAAAGCCCCAGTTCCTTCTATGCTGTATGTCTATCCCAGTCTGTATTCATCCCTGTCCGTGTCTATCCCAGTCAGTCTATCTCAGCCCGTCTATGTCCAGTCGAGCCACTCTAGACTCGTTCCATCTGTCTAAGTCCATACCATTAATCTATCTAAGTACATCCCTCCGTGTAGATCGTAATTTTCTAAATTACCAGGGCCCAGTGTGACCAAGTGCCCGACACCGTAAATAGAGCCCCTAGTGCACCATCATACTGACAATCTTGAACAGACAGTCTGACCGAATCTGCATAGTAAGCCGCACAATATTACACTGCGGCTCTGACCCTTCTTGGCTTGAGACCTTCCATTTTCCATCTGCCGGTAGTCAAAGCTTTCTTCTCGGTATACCTCTTCTCGATAGCCTCAAGGCTGTGCCCTCGGGTCTCGACCATCACAAGGGCCACCACGACTGTGCAAATAAAGGAGCATCCAGCGAAGAGAAAGTAAGCTCCAAAGGTTGACTTTGATAATAAGACCGGAGTAATTAGCGCAACGACATAGTTGGCAAACTGTAATGTTGCCTGTCAGCATAATTCGGGCTTACAAGGACTACAAGGGGAAAGAGACACCGAAACACAAACTTACCCAATTCGAGCTCTGTGCCAGACTTGAAGCACTACTGCGAGTCCTGGAAGGCAGGCTTTCCACCATGAAAGTGCGGAAGCCAATGGCCCATGTGGTGCTGTATACGATGGCAAAGAGATAGATGCATACAATTACAACCCACTTCCCAGCACCTGTATCAGCGTGAACTTCCCCAGCTGCATACAGCGAGCCCATTAAGACCATCAAAGCGGTTATAAGCACTCCTCCGAGTAGACTTGACGTCCTGCGGCCCCATCTGTCTGCTAAGAATGTTGCCGGAATGGTGGCTGCGAGAATCACCAGAGCTGAGACGCCAGATGCGAGGAATGTGGCTTCTTCGCCGCTCAGCCCAGCTTGAGTAAAGAGAATAGGGGCATAGTAAAGGATTCCATCTATACCGCTCCACTGCTGCATCCCAAGTAAGAAACAGCCAAAGATGGTCCTGCTTCGGAAGGGTGCCGAGAAGGCTTCTCTGAACTCGGAGAACATCTGGCGTAGAGTTTCCAGCAGTGTAACGTCGGGTTTCTGCTCTTGAGCCTGGGCCAGGGATTGCTCCAGCAGTTCCTCACGCTCGTTTTGGTCAAGGCCCAGGCGGTCCAATACGTCTCGGGCCTCTTGGATTCTTCCTTTGCCGAGAAGCCATCTTGGTGACGGCGGGACGACCCAGTACGTGCTCGAGAGAGCAAATCCCAAGAACGAAGCTACAGCCAACGGCAGGCGCCATGCCAGGGATGAGACTTCGATACGGGCGGTACCATAGCACATGAAGTAGCCAGTGGCAATCCCAGTGACGATGGAAAATTGCGGCAGGGCAGTGATGATACCCCGGACCCGGGCAGGCGAGATTTCCGAGACTTGGACGTAAACATTACTCAGAAACATGCCCTCGCCGACGCCCTTGATGAGACGGCCCAAGATGAAGACGCCCAGGACGGGTGAAGCGCACTCGATACCGGCGCCGCAGCCATAGACGAAGGCGCCCAGAGAGAAGAGGAGGACGTGCCCGAAACGGTCTGCCATGGCACCGGATACCAGAGCTGACAGGGCACCAGGGATGAGGACGGACGACACGATTACTCCGTGCACTGTGGGGGAGAAGTCGCCGAACGTGCGACGGAAGGACGGCATGGTCGTTACGGGGCCAATGCTTCCTGTATCGAGGCTTGATAGATTGGGCAGCATGTTAGCCAAGAGTAGGTTCGTCCGGGGTCTGGGTCTGAACAGTTATGACGAAAGACGAAAGCGAGTTACGACTGCGAAGAGCATTGCAAGAGGGTGGCAGTAGGTAGAGTAGAGTAGAGTAGAAGAGTCAGACTCCCGCGCCGGCGGGCGCAGAAGCTTTCTTGAACATACCCAAACAACATGGCAACGCATGATGCGACGATGCTTGCTCTCACATAGAGAGGAACAGGGAACAATGCCGCCACCTTTGCCGCCGGCATTTTGAGATGGACTGGGGAAACCTTGACAGAGGCTTGTCAAGAAAAGAACAGAAACCCCCACGGGTGGTTGGCGATGGTGTTTTCTGGAAGGATGTGGCTGATCTCCGCGGCCTTGCCCGTGGACTCCAAAATCTCTCCGTGGGCTGCAAAATTTGGCGGGGGGGCTTATCGTGTTCCCCACCTCAACTGTTGAATCGCCGGTGGCCGGGGAAAGCGTTTTCGGTCCCGGGTTGATATTATAGTCCCCACTTGCCGGTCTTCGCGGTGCGCTGACTCGGGTGAGTTTGGCGACCTGCGGAGTTCCACTTTTAATCCGACCTAGCTGACCAATGGCACAACACCGTGAGCGGGTAAGACGGTTGTGAAGGCATAGGAACCAGACGGTAAACTCGCCTTTGCCCCGCTTGAAATGCTCGCTATTGCCAAAGTCTATTAAGGTATGTCTCATCCCCGTTTAGCAATGTTCGGGCTGACTGCAACACGTGTCATGCCATTACTTGACTGTCGATCATACTTTTGTCGGGCCCTTGCAGCCGGTGGGACGCGAACAGAAACTCGAGACTTAAACGACATCCCGAATGAATTGAGCAGAACCAACACAGCTGCGAGAATTTAGTGCCATATTGAGGCGTATCTCGGAATTATTTTCTTCGTCGGATTCCGTTATTTCGGATCACTAAGAAGGCGCCTGCAGGTCTGGGTTCGCGAGGGTTCTCTTGGAGGACAGGGATACAGATGCGAAATTGATACCAACCCACTTATCCGTGACTCGAGCGATGTGCTCGGAGGAATACTCCGGATTCCTCTCGGCACGCCATACGGGCCATTCTCTGCTTTCCCCTCTCTTCTTCCTGGGTACCTAGAGTCTCAGCATACCCGAGAAAGAGAGCCTGGAAGCCTTCAACGTTGTCGGAAGCTTGGCGGTGCTCAATTAGCCAAGCTAGATGCTTTGCCAGGCGCTGCTATGAAACTGATGATCTCCGCAGACTGCAGCTACCATTGGCTGAAGCGGCTAAGTCGTGAAGTGTTACGTAGGCAGGCCCAAACTGTCGGCAAAGAGAAGACGCAATTACCAATTACTGCCCAGACATGAGCTCGTCAGCGCACCCAATGCACCGGTTCACTTCATCGCCAAGACAGACAACATCAGCCCAAAAAAAAAAGTGACCTGCCCTAATCTGCCGTCGGTCACAAATTGAATAGCTGAATTTCAGGGCGCAACAACCAGACGGTTCCACAACTATCGCAACAGTCCATCCGGGTACGAACGGAGATCAACAGTCAGTGCTGTCGCCTTACAGATAATTAAGCAGGGTAGTGAGATAAACCAGATAAGACCGTGGCCGGGCATTGTAGAGCAAGAGGGCTTTCCCCATGCAGCATCGCCCTCGCAACGCCCGTAATCTTTGCTTTGAACCCTTACTTGGCGCCTTTGGTGACCCTTCTTTTGTAGATCTTCTGGGGACGTGCCCGCACGGCGGTGGCCTGCGGGCTTTTGGTGCCATCCGGGGTTCCCAGAGCCCCCGGTTCAATAGCAGCGGCACTATGATTGTAATGTGACGAGAAATATGCCAGTCCAAAATTAAACTGGGATGCGTGGAAACATGAAGAGATCCTCAATTCCGTGTAAAACGTGATGCATTTGTCGGTTTGCGATACGAACCTTTCCATGTCATGGACTGGTGATTTAGAGTTGCCTGAGAAAACGAGAGGAAGGTGATCGAGATCTAGTACTGACTTTTGAATTGGCAGCGCTGTGTGAAACTCTTTGCAAAGTGATGACTGAGCTGAGCGGCTGTGACACACCTCGGCTCATGGAACGAACTGGCTGAGAATAAGGTAGCTTGCGAGAAGATTGGGAAAAGCTGAAACCCCCCAAAAAAACACCATCTTTGGGGTCAGAATCATCCAATTTTGGCCATCAAGCTACTGTCAATGACGAGATACGTGCAATTGACGGCACGGTTACTTCAGAGTCCGACAAAAGTTCTACCAAGACTTTAATTTGACGAGGGAAACAACGAGGGTTCTAGATCTCGTGCTGTTGGCAATCATCCCCCATGGGAATTGAGTTTGGGACGAGCAGCAGCTACAGACGTGGGCCACGACAATGCCACAAAATAACGGGGTTTCTTGTAGGGATCGTTCTATATGGTAAAGCACACTGCAGTCTGCTGTCAAAGTCTAATTCCCCAGAGAAGGACCCGGGCCAAGATGCCAATGTGCCAAGCCGGTTCCAAGTCGAAGACAAGACCTTTGACGGAAAAGCCAAGTCGAAAAAGCTGGAGCAGAGATCC